TAATTAATTACCGTTGAGCTCAAAGGTCCTATTAATAAACGGTTAATGAATGTGTATTTATGACGACAATTTGTGAGACTGGTAAACTTATGATACGTACGATGGTCTTTCGTTCTACACGGTGCATTTCAAGGTCCTGTACCCATCCGTCGGTAAACTGTACCTGGGCTTGTTGCAGTGACCTGAAGTTACTAAACTTCATGAGTGTATGCACTCACTCCAAGAACCGTATGATTATAAATATGCATATAAATATGCTACAATGAGATAGCTGACTTCATCTAACTAGCAAATGTTGTCCAGGCTACGTTGGTGATACAGTTTTTTTTAATGTGTATGATATTTTTGTCATGCGATTTTAAGCCGGTCCTACAACCGCATCCAAGAATAACATGCAGCTTATCTCAGAACTGTCGGTGAAAATTATTCTTGGAGCTAAGTTTAATTGAGCTGCATTTTAAAGAGGTGCAATTTCACAATTTGTGTATATTTTCTACGTTCACTTTTGTCATGTGTTGAGAAAAACACAGATTTAAAATTACATGGTCTAATATTTACATTTAGCATATAATTGCAACATTATTTTTTCGTTGTTTTTTTTTTAAAGACTCGAAAGGACTTGAAATTCAAAGTTTCAGACTTGTGACTTGACTCGGACTTTTACACCAGTGACTTGAGACTCGACTCTGACTTGCCTGACATTACTTGAGACTTGACTTGAGACTTGAGGATAAAGACTTGAGACTTGCAAAACAATGACTTGGTCCCACCTCTGGTAGGATCTACCTTACAATATAAAGCGCCTTGAGGCGACTGTTGTTGTGATTTGGTGCTGTATAAAAAAATTGAATTGAATTGGTGGGCCATGGTTTCATGTGTGAACAACAGCAATAAAGTTAATAAAAAGATCATGTTTCATCAGGACTGAGAACTGACAGACTTTGATATCGGCCAACATGTGATGGTAAAACTAGTTCAAAAAAGGAAAAGCACTGAGCTGTAACATTGGCCAAAGGATCATTGATATGCATGGGGAGCAGAGCCTGTTAGGAAGCACACATTCCTAAAAATGATATCACATCAATACATCAACATCAAAATTTCAGAAAAGTTGAGAGAGTATGTCAAATGTCAGTGTAGGCTAAATGCTGTTTTTTTTTCCCCTAATGTCTTAATTTTAAATTCATTTTTAATCGATCCACCTCATTTGGCTTTCTGGACTTTATACTTTTTTGGCTGTATGCTTATTTGTTAAATAAACTGACATTTACAGTTCATAAATTCATTTCATTTATATCTTTTTTTTTTACATATAACTCAAATGTTTTATTATTTGGGCTAATTTTAATAAGAAAGTCAGTCTATATGAAACATGAATATACTTACTGCACTTTATATATTTTAACCATATATAGTACATATTAAAGAATGTGTATAGAAATTGCTTGTATTTTGCTACTCCATCTGATTTTCATGATGCCCTAAAAATTTTCTCTAGATCTGCCCCCTGCTCTGGACTAAAAAGGAGACCAACCATCTAGCTCATTATCAGTACTCAGTTCAAAAGCCTGCATCTCTGGTAGTATGGGAGTGCATTAGTGCCTATGGAAGTGGCAGCTTGCACATCTGAAAAGGCACCATCACTACTGAAAGCTTATACACAAGTTTTAGCAACCTCCTCTTCAAGGAAGGCCTTTCATATTTCAGCAACACAATGCTAAACTGCATACTGCAGCATATCATCACAGTAGAAGAATCTGCAGTGCAAACCTCTCATTGAAAGAAGAGGGGATGCTGCACAGTGGTAAACACTGGCCAAACCTGTCCTCTTTTTTGCTCTCATCAAATTCAAAACTAACATTTGACATGTTTTCTGTGTTCTGTTGTGAATAAAACATGGACTTATGAGAGTTGCAAAATAATTGCACAAGTGCAAAATCTGATCCAGACTGGATGTTAAAGCTAAAATCAGTACAAACTTGTGTAATCATAATGGCAATTAAATTTAATAAACAAAAAATGGATTCCAGTGTAAACTGATGAGCCTTTGAGGTAGAAAACACTTCACTTGAGGAAGTCCATTTGGCTCAAGGGAAACAGCCCAGATCTGTCGGATAATAACTTAACTACTGCAGAGATCCTTTATGCTGTTCCACATTCACAAGCAGAGTGTGGCCCAGACTCAGCTGAGCAAGGTCCAATCTGCTGCTCTGTAATAAAGCAGCATGTCAGCTTTGGTGTGTTTAGCCTTAAATCATTTCAAGTTTTATATCTAACCTTGTCATCGTGTCTAACAGCAATGATTCAAGAGAGTTTTTTGGGGTAGTACACATGATTTCTGTGTGTGTGTGTGTGAGAGAGAGAGAGTTTAAGAAAACACACTAACCAGCAAATAGCTATAGCAACAAAGAGTGTTTAAAATCTTTTGTCCATCCCCTGTATTCTGTACAACCCAACGATAAATGGGTTAAAGATGAAAGCAATGCAAACTTACTATAGATTTAGTTTGAATTAGATTGGAATGTAATAGTTCATCTTTTGGGGGGCATTTAGCTCTGTTTCGATATTTGGAGGAGCAAATCATCCTACGAACTGACCTGATGGCATTTTACCTAATTAACAGCAAAACCCCCGCTGGTTTTCAGTACCATTTATTTTTCCAGTCTTTTTGTTTCCTTCATTTCAACATTATTGTGATGTGTTGCTGCCATCAAATTCAAAATAGTCTAACATTTTTCATTACATAGTAAATGTTTCAGTTGAAAAATTTAATATTCCTCATGATTTGTTTTATTGTGTATATGGATTTGTGAGATCCTCAGATCATTGCATTCTGCTTTTATTTATATTTTACACAATGTTCAAATCTGCTGTCAGTGCAAACACTGTGAAACTATCTGCTGTTTGAACTACCTTAAATTCCATCGATCTATCGATTTTTTTTAAAATCCAAACATTCAAATTTAACAGCTGCAATTTTTAAAAACAGCAACAAAAAAAGAAAAAAAAAACTACAATTTTAAAATGAACTATGCAATTAATTTAAACTGTGATGTCAGCATTGACTCATGGCCCAACAAATGGCTCAGTGGACTGGCTGAACAACATTCACATGAACTAGGTCTAAACAGGCAGCTATCGTAAAAATGCAGCTGGTTAAATTAGGGCAGAAAAGTTTTACCATCAGCAGAGAGACATGTGCCCTGAGACTGAAAACACTTATGTGCTCTTTTTAAGGGTAACTGTGGTGCCAGACAGTGGAGTCAAAATCTATTCAAATATTGACATTATGTTAGAAAAGGTCCAAACTCTTGTTGGGGCCTCAGTTAATAGCTGATCTATTTCAGAGAATTTCTTAGTGGACCGAATTTCTGTTATACCTACTCAAAGACTTGTCGGTTTGTTTATGTCACTTAAATAATTTTCGCTTTGTTTTTTTTTTCCCCTCCTTTTACTCAACCACAAAAATCAACCAGAGATGAGGACTGATTGGATACAGTAAGGGTCAGACCTCTGCCCTTTGTAGGCACACTTGTACTTGCCTGTCATTCAATAATATGATGAAGGATAACCAAACTATTATTTTTTATAAGTGTCTGGCTCTTTTTGCAGCACACAACTGACAAATGTACATTCGCTCTCGTGGTTTATGGACTGACTCCATATCCTTCTCTCTGTAATCACTGACAGAATATTCTTGAGTCTGATCACATCCTGCGCTGACAGTTTCAGCAGCATGACGATGAGCTGCTCTTGCACTTTTTCTTTTTTGGGGATGTTGCAATTTCCAATGTGGTTACTGGGATCTTTTCTAAGAATCTGTATGACAGCACTTTAGCCACCGTTTCCGATGAAACACCAGTCAGCTGTGCTTGCTCATTTGTAATACATGCCACTTTGCATGAGAAGATCGTGCAATGACGTGCACCTGTGTTAAAACACCTGGCTTGTTGGTTCTCCAGTAACCAGTCTCTGCAGAGACCACTAGGTGGCACAGGTCCTCAGCTCAGCACTCTACCATCAGGCAGTGGTTTGAACACCTTAAAGCAGAACTACCTTGAATCTTTCTAACACCAATTAGATTTTTATTCACACACTGCAGCTTAACCTTTTCCCTCTTGTCCCGAATTCTTTGATGTTGGGCTGAGAACAAACAACCAATACTCAGAGCAGGTCCAGTCAATCAACAATCATTTATTAAGCACATGCATGTGGAGATGTACACAATACTACCTTCCGTGTCGATCTAAAAGAGGAAGCACTTAGATACACAGTTTTATATGTCAGGGTTCACGGCCCTTCATGCGTAGGCAGATAACATAACATGCATGAGTTACAGTTAGTGACAGTTAGATGTAATTCTTTTTTCGGCAACCTAAGAAAGCTATCTCAACTGTCTCTCACTATGATGTAGCACATCCTGAGTACATCCTGCTGCAGAGGATCCACAGGGCGATGGTGCAGCTGCTATCCACAGCTCCAAACACACTGGTAGTCATTCGGACTGTAAACCACAAAGCTTTGATGAGGCAATTACTAACTGTGACTAAATGTCCATCTGGTGGACGCCTGGCAGATGAGCTTGGCCCACAGCATCCGCCGACCACCACCCACTATTAAGAACAGGATTAATGAACTCTTTTCCTACATATTCAATTAAAACCATGACAAGATGTGCGCGCACCAACAAAGAGATTTTTACCAGAAACATTTGAGTGAGGAGAAAGAATCAGAGCAGGATTGAGCACAACTGCAGTGCTGTGAAAGAGTATGACTTCACTCTGATTTTTTTTGTTTATGTTATAAATTTACAAAGTGTAAGGTTAGTATAAACATCATACTTCAGTAAATTTAACAGGGTGGGCCAAGAAAAAGACTACCAGGGACTCAGGGGAAGATTTGCATTTTCCCCTTTGCATTAATTTGCAGTGGACAGAGTACAGTCGCTCTTGGATAATAATTAACTTTTGGTATGTCTTTGATTCATTGTGTCACAACTGGGAAAACAGCAAATCAATGCAATGAGCTTCAGCGCTGGTTCTCACTAAAAGAATCTTCTCCGTCGAGGTAAGATGTGCTATAGACTTGAGAAGTAAATGTAAAAATGAGATTCGTTTAGCATTACAATACATTATTAATGTACTTGTGTGCTTTGTAGAGGATTTTGTGCGATTTTACGCTGTGTGACATTTTTCTACAGAAAAATATTGCCGTTTTCACTTCTGCTTGTGTCTTACTCATTTGTTCCTTAAACTGTAGACGTGTACATCTTTGACACACGTCTGAACCGAGGACATGTATTAGGGAGAATTTATTTCTACGATTTCTACCAGACTTTTCTTTTCCACTTGTTTGATAAATCAAAAAATGTTTCTGTCTTTACAACTCTTTACACATTAACTGCTACTTACATCAAGATTTTCGTCCTCCACAGCTGCATATTCTGATGAGTCAATAAAAAATAATAATAGTGTCAGTTTAACAGAATATATTGGTTTCAGTAATTAAACAGTTTGTAATTGAGAGAGGATTTGCAACTGCATTTTGTTTTGTTTTTTAACATATACTTTGTTATTGTTTTTGTTTTAATTTCATTCATAAAATCTAGTATCTGGTGAACTGGTCATAGTGCAACACTGCAGCCGGAGATGTGGACTGTTTACCAATCATGAAGTTCCAAGTTTGTAAACGACAGGCCTTTACTAGACTCCCAAAATGTGCCTGGATTTTCCTTTTCTTCACTCTTTTTTTCCTGGTGTTATTTATCACGAACACCCTGGAGGTAAGAACTTGTGTTTTTCTAATTAGTGACTACAGTTTTTTGTGTTGAAAAAAAGATTAAATGAATAATGTAGGTATGATGTGTCAGATGTCCATATGAAGAGCCAGATGCAATTCTCAGGTCATACAGTGCTTTCACATGACTTTCATCTGCTATATAGGTTTTAGATTAAATAGGTAAATGTGACAATGAGCGATCCGATGACCACAGCATTGTAGTTTTTAAAGATCCTTTATTTTCCCGTTTTAAAGTAGCACACACCACTCTCCCAGAAACATCCTTAAAAGGGGAGACATGATTAGATGATGAGGTCAGGTGTGTGAATCAGCCTCCATCTTTCACCACACCCTGAAAACCCACTGCTCTACCCCTCCCCTGCAGCGGAGCCACAAACCACTCCCCACAGTAGTCATGTTTTTGGATGTAGCCCTTCGACAATCAACTTGTTGGTGGTGCAAAAATACTAAATATACTAATATTTAATCTGCAACACGAGATAACTTTTTTTACTTTTTAAACTTACTTTTTTATTTACTTCTATTTAATTTTTTTTTTTAGTCCTTTAGTTCTTGTTAGGAAGAATGTGTCACCCTGACCTGGCAACCCTGTTGTAAGCTAGTAATTAATGTAGCCTTGTATGTGAGGTTTATGGTAAAATCAACTCATTGGAGAGTGCTGATTAGTCCCTCCAAATTTAAATCAATTTTGTATTTCACATTATAAACATTGGTATTCTAAGATTCAAATCCTGGTGATTTTCTGAAAGGCAACATTTCTGCCAGTAACCACATTTTGCATTTGATACAACTGCATTTAGTTTGCCTTATCATAGAGAGCTGAGTGTAATCTGTATCTGTATATTTCTTGGCTTAGTTAAATTGGTAATGCATATATTTTAAGGATTTTGATTTATTCATTTATGTACAAAGAAAAGCTTTGTTGTCTTATCACATGAGAAGAATTTTTAACAGTTTTCAACTATGTTTAGTATTTACCTCTTTTTAAAATTTACCATGGCAACTAAGCAGCTTCAAAATCTGCAACTTTTGCTTTGTATGAAATGTTTTTGTTTCCAACTCTCAGAGCCCTATTCAGATTTCATTGTCTTAAACTGGATAATGGAACATGTTGATTCTTAGGTGTACTGAATTGTATTGCATGTTTTAATTCAATGATTAATATTGCAGTTTCAGAATAAAATGAAGACCATCAGCATATTCTCAAGGCCTGCCGCTGTTACCCTGTCTACTGACATGCATTATGACTTCTGCAAGTTAAAACCGCTGTCCCCTAAGGAGGCTCAAGAAGAAGACCTCCTGCTAGAGTCTATTACTTGGCCTGAAACGCCACCTTTATCATTTCCTCTTTCTCTGGAAAAGACCAGTGATCCAGACCACAGCACCTTCACCATTCTTCCAAAGAGGGGAGGGGGCCAGTGGCGAATAGGAGATAAGCTGGAGGTTATGATTAACATGAAGGACTTTCAGGGCCGTCCAAAAAAGTTTGGAGGAGACGTTTTACTTGCCCGGCTGCACAGCCCAACTATCGGTGCGGGTGTTGCAGGAGAAGTGGTGGATCATCTCAATGGCTCCTACACAGCTGTATTCTTTTTACTCTGGAAAGGAAGTGCACAAGTCCAGGTGATTAAGAAAATGTATCATTTTACATGTGGTTGAAGGCATTGGAAATGTCAACATCCCATCTTTCTTTTTTTTCAGTCACTGGAATGTTTAGAAAAATACATCTTCCCATTTCTCTAGACAAAGACTTAATAGTAAAGTAATGTTTCAAGCTGATGTAAAATGTTAGCTTCCTGTTGCCGTTGGCATAAAGAAACCTACTTCTCAAATTTGCACATAAAGTCTGTTACCCCTACTTTTAGCTACTGACATTAGGACAAATGCTAAGACCAAACAGTCACTTCATTCTTATGCAATACTGAGCAGCAATCTGGGGGTGAAAAAAGAAACTAATGAGGAGGTGCCGCAAAAATGTGTTCCCCAAAAGGAACTGAGACTGACTTCCAAAGTTCTCATAGGTTGTGATGTTTATATTGCTTATTTTTGTGTTAATGGAAACTGTAATGGAGGGGGAATGTGGTTCCGGGTTATACTTCAAGATCGTGTTCAGTTTCTGCAGTAGGAGAAAACTATTAGCACTAAAGTTAGCATGTTTGTAGTAAGCCCATGTAATGAATGCAAAGTATGGTGCTCCTTGCTAACTAGCAAGGTATGGTCATGACCTCAATGCCATTAGCTGAAGCTTTAAAAACAAATTATTTCCTCCAGAGTCTCCACCAGCTTGGGTTTGAGCTGGATGACAAAATATGCTTTAACAGAAACAAGAATTCTATCTGTTACAAAACAAATTATTTTGCTGCTTCCCCAACAGACCTTTGCTGCAAATATTTAATGATCATAGCTTGCTTATGAAATAGAGCCAACTCATCTTTTCCACTGAACCATAGCTGTTAGACAATTCTAAGAGCAGATGGGTTAAATTCCAACCCAAGGCCGTTTGCTCCCATATGGAAAAGAAATAGTAAAAACTTATATGTGATTACTCATGAAAGTGGCCACTTTCATGAGTAAATCATATAAGGCTTACATGATTTACTCATGAAAGTGGCCACTTTCTCATTACTTTCATACATTGTTTTAGTAAGTATCCAAAACATACAAGTTTCATTATATAATTTTTCAAGGGATCTTATATCTGTTTTCACTCTTATATGCTTTTCATACAAGTTTCACACAAGACAGATACAAACTTTATAAGATTTATATATATCTTTTCCATATGGGCTGTGTATCTCCATCCATCCATCCATCCATCCATCTTCATCCGCTTTGTCCGGGGCCGGGTCGCGGGGGCAGCAGCCTAAGCAAAGAGGCCCAGACCTCCCTCTCCCCAGCCACCTCCTCCAGCTTATCCGGGGGAATACCAAGGCGTTCCCAGGCCAGCCGAGAGATATAATCTCTCCAGCGTGTCCTGGGTCTGCCCCGGGGCCTCCTCCCGGTGGGACATGCCTGGAACACCTCACCCAGGAGGCGCTCAGGGGGCATCTTTGTCAGATGCCCGAACCACCTCAGCTGGCTCCTTTCGATGTGGAGCAGCAGCTGCTCTACTCTGAGCCCCTCCCAGATGGCCAAACTTCTCACCCTATCTCTAAGGGAGAGGCCAGCCACCCTTCGGAGGAAGCTCATTTCTGCCGCTTGTATCCGCGATCTCGTTCTTTCGGTCACTACCCACAGCTCGTGGCCATAGGTGAGGGTAGGGACGTAGATCGACTGGTAAATTGAGAGCTTCGCTTTTACACTCAGCTCCCTCTTCACCACGACGGACCGGTGCAGCGTCCGCATTACTGCAGCTGCAGCCCCAATCCGTCTGTCGATCTCCGGCTCCCTTCTCCCATCACTTGCGAACAAGACCCCGAGATACTTGAACTCCTCCACTTGGGGCAGGAACTCATCCCCGACCTGGAGTGGGCACTCCACCCTTTTCCGACTGAGAACCATGGCCTCAGATTTGGAGGTGCTGATCCTCATTCCCGCTGCTTCACACTCGGCTGCGAACCGCTCCAGTGCGAGCTGGAGGCCCTCACCCGATGAAGCCAACAGAACCACATCATCTGCAAAAATCAGAGATGAGATTCTGAGGCCACCAAAGCGAAAGCCCTCCGCCACTTGGCTGCGCCTAGAAATCCTGTCCATAAAAATTATGAACAGAACCGGAGACAAAGGGCAGCCCTGGCGGAGCCCATCACCCACCGGGAACGAGTCCGACTTATTGCCGGCAATGCGAACCAAGCTCTTGCAACGGTTGTATAGGGATCGAATGGCCCGTAGCAATGGGCCAGACACCCCATATTCCCGCAACACCTCCCACAGGACACCCCGAGGGACACGGTCGAATGCCTTCTCCAAGTCCACAAAACACATGTAGACTGGTTGGGCAAACTCCCATGCACCCTCAAGTATCCTGGAGAGGATAAAGAGCTGGTCCAGTGTTCCGCGACCAGGACGAAAACCACATTGTTCCTCCTGTATCCGAGGTTCGACTAACGGACGAACTCTCCTTTCCAGCACCCTGGCATAGACTTTCCCAGGGAGGCTGAGGAGTGTTATCCCCCTGTAGTTGGAACACACCCTCCGGTCCCCTTTCTTGAAGATGGGGACCACCACCCCGGTCTGCCAGTCCACAGGTACTGCCCCTGATCTCCACGCAACATTGCAGAGGCGTGTCAACCAGGACAGCCCTACAACGTCCAGAGCCTTCAGGAACTCGGGGCGGACCTCATCAACACCAGGGGCTCTGCCACCAAGGAGTTGTTTAACTGCCTCAGTGACCTCGCCCCCGGAAATTGGCGGGTCATTCCCCTCATCCCCAGACTCTGCTTCCTCCTCGGAAGACGTGTCAGTGGGATTAAGGAGGTCCTCGAAGTATTCCTTCCACCGCCTGACAATTTTCTCAGTCGACGTCAGCAGCGCTCCGCCAGCACTGTACACAGTGCAGGTAGAGCACCGCTTTCCCCTCCTGAGACGTCTGACGGTTTGCCAGAATCTCTTCGAGGCAGTCCGAAAGTCTTTTTCCATGGCCTCTCCGAACTCCTCCCACACCCGAGTTTTTGCTTCAGCCACTGCCCGAGCCGCATTCCGCTTGGCCTGTCGATACCTGTCGGCTGCCTCCGGAGTCCCACAGGCTAACCAAGCCCGATAGGACTCCTTCTTCAGCCTGGTGGTTCCCTTCACCTCTGGTGTCCACCATTTGGTTCGGGGATTACCACCACGGCAGGCACCAACCGCCTTGCGGCCGCAGCTCATTGCAGCAGCTTCGGCATACACAGATGCCTAAGATTACGTAGGCATCTGTGTATCTCCACCCACTGTAAATAGCCCTTACTAAACAGTTAGTCTTTAATGCTACTTGAACCAGGGGAATGGAATGCTGACCATGACAAAAGGTAACGTTTTCTTTCCATTGGCACTGTTTCTTTTTGCCAACATATAATCTGAATGAATTACTTACCACCAACCAGAAATGCAAATTCCCCAAAAGTTGATTCCATTTATCTGTATGTAGTTTTTTCAGTGGGAGAAATGTTTCGTCACTCACCCAAGTGACTTCTTCAGTTTCATGGAGATGCTCTTTTTATAAGGTTGGGGAAACCTGCAGTCAGCTGAGACTGAAAAAGTCACTTGGGTGAGTGACGAAACATTTCTCCCACTGAAAACATCCAGATGAACAGAATCAACTTTCTGGGATTTCCTTACTGGGATGATTGAGCATGAATCAAGATGCTGTATTCAAAGGTTGTAGTAATTATAGGTATTTATCTGAAAACTGGTTGCAAAACTCTGAGTCTGTTTTCTACAGGTGACACTGGTTCACCCCAGTGAGGCAGTCATGGAGCTGCGCAGGCTGAACAGAGAACACCCTGACAGGATTTTCTTTAAGAGCGTCTTCCAGTCAGGCTCAGTCACTGAAACTACCACCTGTAACATATGTTTGCGTCCAACCCAGAAGTCTCTGTGCAACTACACTGACCTCCATACAGGCGAGCCCTGGTTCTGCTACAAGCCAGATAACCTGAGTTGTGATGCCAGAATGAATTACTTCAATGGAGGATATCAACAAAGCATCACAACCATGGAGAAGCTTTTTAAGAGGTGAAGATTTCGTTTATGTCCTTAGTGTAAAAGTATAAAAGTCAATCTTTTTCTTTGTTTTACTCTCCACAGCAAAAAGAGGGAACTATCTTTTTCTCCACCTGGAAAATTCTTCATTGTTGTGTGTTAGCCAGTTTCCCTGTCAACTATTTAATGTTTAATATGATTTAATCTGTTTTTGCTGCCTGCCGTCTCTAATAAATTTCTAGTTTAAAAAACTTTTAAACTTTTCTTAAGAACTTTTATTGTGTGTGCTTTGCCTCAGTGGCGTCAACTTGAAAGTCTCCATTCGAGCTTCAGGACCTGCAGGTGTCACCATTTTTCCAAGAATGAAAGGTAAAGCCAGATGTTAACACCTATATTAAATAAACATTTGTAGAACATTTAATAGTTTATGGATTTTGAATTAACTACTAACAGTGTAACTTTTCCTCTGTAGGGATAGTTCATAACATGTGGATGAAATGAACTTCAACAGTTCTTATTCCCAGAATAAAGAGGTTTATTATAAGAATGTGAGGTATGATCAGAAAGTTCTGGGAACTGACCTCAACTGATTTATATTAGGCTGATAAGTCTTCTTGAGTGTTGTCTTTTTGTGCATCTTAAGCCCATTTTCAAAAATGTAATTAGTTATAGATTGCTCCCTGGATGTCCCATTCTGTTCCCTTGCACTTATTTTGGGTCAGATATGTCTGTGTAGTTAAAAAATAGTAACAGTAACAGTTATATAGTAACTGTTAAGTCTAATATACCCTAGTAAGCTATACTACTTTTTCCTTTGGGAAGATACCATCTGTGCAGTGTGCAATTCTGTTGAAGAAAGATGTTGAATCTATTTAATTATTCTTGAAAAATAATTTATTTCTGTGCATTTTCCCCCCTGCATCAAATTAAATTTGATTATATCGATTAAGCATCATGAGGTGGAGGGTGGCTCCCTATTTTTTTTGCTGGGAGTTTGCAACCCTATTAGTTAGGTTGCTTAATATTTCTGCTAAGTACTCTTTAAAATACCAGAATAGGGAGGATGGAGTAGGTTTAAGTTTATTAGATTGATTGGTTTTGCTGAACTATGAAATATTTTGGGCGCAGTGTATTTTTTACATACAGGTATAACAGAATAGCTTTAGTGTTGTTATTTATTTAAACTTGAGTATAAACGTATACAAAATGCAGCAAGATATTAAAAAAACGTTTTGTTGATTAAAAAACACTATATCGGATTCATATCGGTATCGGCAGATATCCAAATTTATGATATCGGTATCGGTATCGGACATAAAAAAGTGGTATCGTGCCATCTCTAATTTTTAGGCAATCCTGATATTAATGAATCTCAGTAGTCCAGTCTAGAATTAATAAATGCATTAACTAATTCTTCCATATCAGTCTGAGACAGGATTTCTCATTTTTGAGATACTGCACTAATGCAAGAAAACAGTCATACATATTTGTTTAATATGTGCATTGAGGGACATGACTCCAAGTTTCCTTACAGTGTCACTGGAGGTCAAAATAAAGCCATCCAGAATGGTTTGACGCCACGTTTCTAAGATTGCACATGAAAGGGATGGGACTTCCAGGAAGTGATCTAATAACAGCAGCAGTAGTCATAGTGGTGCATAAATGCATGATAAGATGATCTTCAACAGTGGATGGTAAACATTTAAATTAGGTAATCACCAGTGTACTGCACTTATATTTTTTGGGACTAAAAAAGTCATAAACAAACTAACTGTACTTCAACTTGAGTGAGGTTAGAAAACTACAGCAAACTAGCTGTCTTATAAAATTAAAATTATAAGTAATATTAGATTTCATTCACTCATACAGGTAAAGGAAAGATTTTGTTTGGGTCTTTTCTTGTTAATAACTCAAAAATAGTCATATAGCGTGTCTGTTGACTTGTTCTCAGGACAGTCAGAGGAGAAGAGCAGCAGTGAGGAGTCTGGACCCTCGGGCTATTACTACCAAGATGTTTGGCGAGGACTAGGTGGCACAAAAATTCATCAGTTCAACACTTCCTCGGCCATCACTCAGTGCCTGAAAGGCAAGGTGGTTCATATGTATGGAGACTCCACCATTAGGCAGTGGTTTGAACACCTTACAGCAACACTACCAGGTAACTACCCCACAACCCTTTCAGGCACCCCTCTGATTTTCTTTAGACACCTTATCACACGCATTATTTCCTCTGTAATACTTTCAGATCTCAAGGAGTTTGACCTGAATAGTGAGAAACAAGCTGGACCTTTCATGGCCCTGAACTTTACACACAACATCATGGTGAAGTACCGCTGCCACGGTCCTCCTCTCCGGAGCACTACTGTCCCAGCCATTGAGATGCATTATATTGCCAACGAGTTAGACAACATGGTTGGAGGCAGCAAAACCGTTGTAGTACTTGGAATCTGGGCACACTTTGCCACTTTTCCCTTGGAGTTCTACATCCGGCGGATGTTGTCCATCCGCAGGGCAGTGGTGCGGCTGCTGTCCAGGGCTCCAGACACACTGGTGGTTATTCGGACCGGAAACCCCAAATCTTTAACATGTTTCCTTCACTCATCCACTAACAGTGACTGGTACACGCTGCAGCAACTCAAAGTGCTCAAGGCCATATTCAAAGGACTGAATGTCCATCTGGTGAATGCCTGGGAGATGGTCATTGCCCACCACCTGCCCCAAGAACTCCACCCACAACCTCCCATTATTAAGAACATGATTAATGTTCTCCTGTCGTACATATGCCCTGAAAAGGATGGTTAGATGTGTGTGTGTGTGTGTGTGTGGGGGGGGGTTAGCAGTCTGTGCACACACATTTATTTACCATCTATTTGAATTAAATTAACTACAGTAAACAGCAAAAGTAACTATTATAAATGTTCATAGTAGCCCCAGAGAAAGCTTGTAACCATCTTAATCAGCCTCATTGGTTCCACTCTCTGCATACAGTACATTTAATCCATTTTTCATTTTTAATAATAGTCCCTATTTGATTTGTTAAATAATGTTGTTTCCCACTGCATCACCTAAGAAACCAAAGCTGATTTGTACTTTAAACATGGTCAGCATAAACACAGGAAGTTAAAGGGACAAAAACAAAGGTTAGCACAAAATTTCACTCCCAGCGTGAAATGCCTTTCAGGTTTCATCTGAATCTGTAAATACTGTATTTAGGGGCAGTTATGTTTTGGGACATGTTTACATGCATCTGTGTTATTCTGTCTGTAAACATGGTTTTGAATTAATTCTGATAAAACTACGTAGGCGTGTAGGATTGGGATTGTGTTAACAATCCATTAGAATTTGGTTTATACATATTTAAGGTGAACTCGAGATGTGTTACTGTATATCTTCACAGAAAGAGAATGAGCCGCCTAGTTAGCAGTGGTAAATGGTAAAGAGCCTGTATTTATATAGCACTTTACTAGTCCCTAAGGACCCCAAAGCGCTTTACACATCCAGTCATCCACCCATTCACACACTGGTGATGGCAGCTGCATTGTAGCCACAGCCACCCTGGGACGCACTGACAGAGGCGAGGCTGCCGGACACTGGCGCCACCGGGCCCTCTGACCAGTAGGCAATGGGTGAAGTGTCTTGCCCAAGGACACAACGACCGAGATTGTCCAAGCCGGGGCTCGAACTGGCAACCTTCCGATTACAAGGCGAACTCCCAACTCTTGAGCCACGATCGCCTCAATAACGGTGTTACTAACGTTACTTTTTCCAGTAACAAGTAATCTAACTAATTACTATTTCTATCGTTACAATGCTGTTAACTAGAAAATGTGGTGCGGTCGCTTTACTATTTTTCAACAAACAGATGGTTGAAGCTGTCTTCAGCCTACCGCACCTTATATCAAGCCAATCACATGACCACATGAACATTGTGTTGATAGGCTACGTAAGACCAGAGTCATGATAAACATTATGTATGCATGTTTTTTCCTGAATAGTTTTGTCACATTAACTGTGATTAACAGTAACTGATTTACAAACGGTAACTGATTTAAACCAAGCAGAAGACTAGAGAGTTGTCTGTGGCTCTATAGTGTAGGTGTAGGGGTTTACACACTTGCCTAATAAACAAAAGGTCCTTGGTTTCATTCTGAGAGTAGACACAAATGGGGCTTCAAATGGCATAAAAACTAATAAAATCTGTCTCACTAACCACTTTGGAAACTTGTGACACGTGAATGTAGCTTTAAAAACATCTATGTAACATGTTAGACAGCCCAGTTTGAAAGGACTGATAGCTTGTGCCAAGGAGGTTAATTATCATTTGTATAGCTCTTTTGTTTAGGACTTTTAACAAGCAGTTAAGGACAATTAACCAGGTATCGGACACACTTAACTGGCTATGCAAAATAAACCATTGAAAGGCCATTGTTCCTTTGGAGCCTGATTCCCTAAAAGGAATCTATAGCTAACAGCTAAACGAACTATAACTCTAGCATTAGTGTTGGCTCTACAAAGTATTTCTGGTACAATGCAATACAATGTTTTCAGTGACACTGAAACTAAGAAAAAAAATCCTAGTCATAAAATAAAAAGCTGATGTATCAAAATCACGTACCAGCAATAACACAGGGTATCAACAGCAAAAGCAGCAATAGAAGGTGTGATGAAGGCCGAGGCTTACTGAGGCTTACGGTCCTGCTACCATACTTTATCTAGAAAACATTAAGGAAAGTCTCAATAGAGCAGCAGGTCAGAGATTTTCAAAATATTATTCATACAGTAAATATCATGATGTGAAACAGGCTGTAAATAATGTTGTACAAGGATAGTTGACGTTGTGTTAAAAGCAAAGAGCAGTTACATCATGCATCCATTCTGATTGATTGTGCTCCGCGTGAAGCTCAGTGAATAAGAATATTTATAGCACTATTTGTCTTTGAACCTAATCACTTGATATTATATCTGAAAGATATCATTTCAGTGCCTAAACCATTAGCAGAGTACTGCACCGTGGAGCTCTTATCACAATGATCCAGTCTTTAATTGATGACGTATGAACCCTGCTTCCGGGTCCAAACCTCTCCATGTTAATTAAGGCTGTTGTGTTTTTAAAGTGTTTTAATGCTTTGTATCTTGTTCTGCTTAATCTGAACAATGAAAGAATTTAGACAGTTTTTAACTCTCAGTGATGCCGCAGTGTTTGTTTGACTTTGGGACCTGAAGTGGAGTTTGGACCCAGAAATGGCTATTTATGTCAGACTTAAAGACTGGATAGGTATGTTTGTCTCTCCATAAACAGTGCCTCGTGTTAGTATGAAAGAAAGATTTACCAACAACAGCTGAAATTCAACGTCGGGTGGGTTTTTAACCTCACAAGTGAAAGAGTGAGTCTCATCACTGGTTTTGTTTGTTTCCATGGCGCAGCGGTATTCCTTACACCTATGGGTGGCTGTAGCTCAGGTGGCAGAGCAGGTCAGCCACTAATCAGTAGGTCGGTGGTTCGATCCCAGGCTGCATCCTGGCTGCATGCCAAATATCCTTGGGCAAGATACTAACCCCGTGTTTGCCTACTGGTGGTGGTCAGAGGGCCCGGTGGCGCCTGTGTCCGGCAGCCTTGCCTCTGTCAGTGCGCCCCAGGGCAGCTGTGGCTACAATGTAGCTTGCTATCGCCAGTGTGTGAATGACTGAATGTAGTGTAAAGCGCTTTGGGGTCCTATGGACTAGAAAAGCGCTATACAAATGCAGGCCATTACCATTTACTGTCTTGAACGCCCCACACTGATAACTCTGCTGTTGTCATTTCCAGTTTATCTGCCTTTTTCTATAACAACAACACAAGCAAAGACTGATGTTCTACGAGCTGATGTCACATGTTTGTGAATGTGCGATTTAAAACATGCATTACCCGTATAGTGATGTGAACACTGTTTCTTGTCCTTGTGGCTGTGAAGCTGATAAACTCAGGGTCTGGATAGTAGGACATGTTTGTGGAGCAGGCCAAGGTTTGATTAGCTACTTTCAAAAACACAGTGCTGCTAGAAATCCCAGGACTGTTTTCAGCTGAAGGTGAGTCATAGGTGAGACTCTGCAATGAATTACATTTTTATATAAATCATAGACTCTTTATATAGCTAGCATGGTATGGTCATGATGGTGACATGATAAACCTAATGTCAATCACAGAATCAGAAGCGCCTCAACATCTATATTTCTAATGATTCAGCTTCTCTCCACAACTTGTTTTGTGCCAAATAATCTTACCGGTTACCCTCAATCTTCAACAAGGTGTTTATTTTTATCTTGCCTTTTTATTTTAATTTGACTCCCAATAAAATGTAAGTGATTTTTGTGATTACTGCATTTTTGTAATGGTGAGAATATGAAGTTACTTAATCTGTGTATGAAAATTCCTCCTCGTTTATGTCAAGACCAGTAAAGCTGACATTGGAGAGTAGTAGCAACAAAATAGAACCAACAGTCAATCAACACGTATGATATGTATGAAGTCAGACACTCTGATGTCGGTGGACTGCGTAGGGACTTGCTCAGCAAATGTAGGCGGCATAAATAAAACAAATACATAAATAAAGATTTAATCAAAGGTAGCTGTGGAGGCTTACCTTGGTGAGAAAAAGTTTACTGTTCAGCAAATTGGACAAAGAAATCAGCCCTTGCTCAACCGTCTGCCTACAACTTTCTGAAACATCCAGAGCTTGTCCCAGTTGGGACTCCTGGTGCCCCGGGAAGAAAATGCGCTCTGCATATGTTTGATAATCCAGGAAAGCAATCCCAGAGCCCAGCAAAGTATTGGACATGTCCATCATCTCTGTCATCAAGTCTAAAAAGAGGAATTAAGGTTTCGTCTTACTTTCACAAAATGTAAAAGTCCAATCCAACTTTATTTATAGACCACTTTAAAAACAACATAGTTGACCAAAGTGCTTTCCAATAATAAAAAAACAGAGATAACAGTTAAAAACCATACATTAAGCAGACAAAGAAAAATATCTAAATAACAATAAAATAAATACATACATAAATGAAAAAAGAAGATAAAAAAATAAATCAGTATATATCAAATAATAAAACATGAGTAAAATAGACATTAAAATGTACAATGAATAAAATTAACAAAAAAAGATTAAGAGTGACCATCTACTGACTAAAACTGACTACAAGCTGACTCTGGTGCTACTCCTAAAAAGCCTTTGGAAAAAAAGGTGTTTTTAAAAGTGATTTGAACATTTCAAGTCTTGGGGCCAGCCTAATATGGATGGACAGCTTTTTCCATAATCTGGGGGCCACAACAGCGAAAGCTCGGTTCAGAAGAAAAAGAGGAAGTTACCTGTGAACTCCTTCTTACAGCGGTCTCAAACACTCGTCTCCAGGTTCTCCAGCTGGATCTGAACTTTCTGATGGTCCCTCATGGCCTATTTGCTTTCTCCTGACCCACAAGCCATGATGAAGAGGTAATATTAAGATCAAAACCAACCAATATGTTGATCAAATAAGAAACTGATGCTCCGTGAACTGAACATGTTTACCTGTATATGAGCACTATGATGAGAACACCAAAGAAAAATACACTGACACCTCTGATCTGCTTGAAAAGCTTAGATTCATTTAAAAGAATTAAATTAAAACATCAATATACTGGCAACTGTACAAGGGGTAAAAAAAAGCCATCGTAAAAACATTCATGCTTAGGCAAACATTTAAAAGCAAATAATAGTTTCATAGGTTATAACTAGGCTTTATGTAGGCTGAGGTTTCGTGTCAGAAGGTGTGGATGTACAAGAACAATGACAGAGGTACATACTGTCTCACAGGCCTGTCACCTTGACCTTGCTAAGGTCCAGTGTGGCTGCCACGACGACACTGAAAGGGCTCTTGGGAATGTGATCTCCACCGTAGGTCACGCAACTCCCAGGGGACCCTGTCATGGGAAAGGGAAGCGATCCACATCCTCCCATTTAATATGATGTATAACAGCCAGAAGAACGCTTCCTTGTCTTATAAGAACCCACATAATACAAAGTAACTACAAAGTAACTACAATCCACGCCCGCATGTGTGAGCATTTCTTTTCTCGCCTGTTGCACAGGTGTATATTTAACAGTGTGTGTGTTGTTGTGGTTGTTGATGATTTCAAAGTCTTTCACAGCCTGCTGCTACTACTGCTTTGAATGGTACACAGTTCAAATGACAGCTCAAAAGGACCTGTTTACATTAGCATACCAACTATAACCCTGTTTATTCATGTTTATTCTTCTTTTTAAATCCGTGCGATTGTGATTTTAATTTTGATCTTGTCAATTTCATCAAACATTTTCATAAAAGTGTTATGAAGAGTTGTTCCATGTAGTATGACGGAAAACATTCCGACCGTATTATAGACCAACAAACTAAACAAACTCAACAGACTCGTTTTTGTTAGTACTCTCTGACTTTGTGAGGCAGTACAGGTATTCTTACCACTGCGGCTGAGTCCTGGTCCCTCTGCCTTGAGAAGGATCCACTTTGACCCTGAAGGGTGTCATTGTTATAGTCTAAACACAAACAGCCTTTGTCCTGATGGCAGAGGACAAAGGCTGTGTTAGCATGTTACCTTTGCAGGTAATGCTCTTCAGTCATTTTTAGCCTCAAACAGCAGGTGGGTTAAATACGTTTCCCTGTAATATCTGTTTATAAACATGTTTGGAATATTTCTTTGACATGATCATATGTTTGCGCTCTTTACTCTCACACACACAGTTTTATGGAGCTTTACCTTGACCAGACTCTGAGCAGTCAACAGTGAAGTATGTTGTCTCGAAGGCTTTGAGGCCCGTCTTTGCCACTCCAGGGTCAGAGACCTTCACCTTGTTTGGATGACAGCCCGCTCCGATATTCAGCTCCGATATTCATCTGTGGGCACAAACACCAAAACTCAAGAGACTTCTCAGTGAGAAGAAAAGACAATCCCTGCATGCCAGAGTGAAAGTGAGAGCGTGTGTGAGTGCATACTCACCCTGAACGGACTCTCGGGGATGTGAACGTCTCCCCAGGAGACCATCACAGTGTGCTTCACAGGCTTACGTGGGGTGTAGGTGCAGGCGTATGCGCTGTTGCCATTATCCTTAACCTGGACATGCACAGAATTACCTTCACCATCCTGTGCAGAAGACAAGGGATTAGTTCAATCAAATTTACACACCGTATTTTTTGGACCATAAGGCACACCGGATTATAAAATGCATTAAGCGAAACAAAACAGTCAGATAAGTCAAACTTTACTTAACTCTTTCTTCTTGCTTCTTCCTGTTAGGTTTTGTATTGTTGATTGTCATTTATGCTTAGAAATATCTACTTCTATAGGCTTAGAGTTTTATAATAAGTTGTAGATTGATAGAGGTTTGATCCTTAATAGTCTGCAAACTTTGTGTGCATTCCAGAGCACTCTGGGAGCATGGGAGAGGTCGTACCTTGTCTTATTGTTTTATGGTAGGATAAACGTACAGTATGCGTACCGAACCGAAAGCACTGTATCGAACGGTTCAATATCGATACGAGTATTGTTGCACCCCTAATATCTATGTAGGCAGGGAAATCTCATCTGAGCAAGATGAGTAAATCCAGCCCATTTCAAAGATGGTTGGACGACAACAGTCACAACAGACTCCTTTGCCATCTATTAGGCCAAAAATGCAAAATTTGAGGCCCGCCTCGCCAGTGTCAGAATCTACGCAACTGCCAGGCCTTTTCGCATGATTCGTGCCCCAGAAAGGCAAACCAACCTACTCCAGCCCTACCAGTTGTAATTACACAACGTGGTCTTGTCCCTCTGCCGCCCATTTGTAAAAAAGTTGAATATACAGTGGGGCAAAAAAGTATTTAGTCAGCCACCGATTGTGCAAGTTCCCCCACTTAAAATGATGACAGAGGTCAGTAATTTGCACCAGAGGTACACTTCAACTGTGAGAGACAGAATGTGAAAAAAAAATCCATGAATTCACATGGTAGGATTTGTAAAGAATTTATTCGTAAATTCGGGTGGAAAATAAGTATTTGGTCACCTCAAACAAGGAAAATCTCTGGCTCTCACAGACCTGTAACGTCTTCTGTAAGACGCTTTTCTGTCCCCCACTCGTTACCTGTATGAATGGCACCTGTTTGAACTCATCATCTGTATAAAAGACACCTGTCCACAGCCTCAAACAGTCAGACTCCAAACTCCGCCATGGCCAAGACCAAAGAGCTTTCGAAGGACACCAGGAAAAGTATTGTAGACCTGCACCAGACTGGGAAGAGTGAATCTACAATAGGCAAGCAGCTTGGTGTGAAAAAATCAACTGTGGGAGCAATCATCAGAAAATGGAAGACATACAAGACCACTGATAATCTCCCTCGATCTGGGGCTCCACGCAAGATCTCATCCCGTGGGGTCAAAATGATCATGAGAACGGTGAGCAAAGATCCCAGAACCACACGGGGGGACCTGGTGAATGACCTGCAGAGAGCTGGGACCAAAGTAACAAAGGTCACCATCAGTAACACACTACAACGGCAGGGAATCAAATCCCGCAGTGCCAGACGTGTTGCGCTGCTGAAGCCAGTGCATGTCCAGGCCCGTCTGAAGTTTGCCACAGAGCACATGGATGATACAGCAGAGGATTGGGAGAATGTCATGTGGTCAGATGAAACCAAAGTAGAACTTTTTGGTATAAACTCAACTCGTCGTGTTTGGAGGAAGAAGAATACTGAGTTGCATCCCAAGAACACCATACCTACTGTGAAGCATGGGGGTGGAAACATCATGCTATGGGGCTGTTTTTCTGCCAAGGGGACAGGACGACTGATCCGTGTTAAGGACAGAATGAATGGGGCCATGTATCGTGAGATTTTGAGCCAAAACCTCCTTCCATCAGTGAGAACTTTGAAGATGAAACGAGGCTGGGTCTTCCAACATGACAATGATCCAAAACACACCGCCCGGGCAACAAAGGAGTGGCTCCGTAAGAAGCATTTGAAAGTCCTGGAGTGGCCTAGCCAGTCTCCAGACCTCAACCCCATAGAAAATCTGTGGCGGGAGTTGAAAGTCCGTGTTGCTCGGCGACAGCCCCAAAACATCACTGCTCTCGAGAAGATCTGCATGGAGGAATGGGCCAAAATACCAGCTACTGTGTGTGCAAACCTGGTAAAGACCTATAGTAAACGTTTGACCTCTGTTATTGCCAACAAAGGTTATGTTACAAAGTATTGAGTTGTATTTTTGTTATTGACCAAATACTTATTTTCCACCCTGATTTACGAATAAATTCTTTACAAATCCTACCATGTGGATTCATGGATTTTTTTTTTTCACATTCTGTCTCTCACAGTTGAAGTGTACCTCTGGTGCAAATTACTGACCTCTGTCATCATTTTAGGTGGGGGAACTTGCACAATCGGTGGCTGACTAAATATTTTTTTGCCCCACTGTACATCCCAACCTCTTTTAAGAACTCCAAAGAAACCAAATGTAACACGCACCAATCAATTCCATCTGATCTCACTTTCACCCATTTCCATCAACAAGCTGTAATGCTGTACCTTAAGAGTTGTTTTTTTCCCAACTCACCCCAACTGATAAATGGCCTGTATTTGTGTAGCGCTTTACTTAGCGGACCCTAAAGCGCTTTACACTGCATTCAGTCATCCACCCATTCCCACACACATTCACACACTGGTGATGGCAAGCTACATTGTAGCCACAGCTGTCCTGACAGGGCGCGCTGACCACCACCACTAGGCAACGGGTGAAGTGTCGTGCCCAAGGACACAACAACCGAGACTATCGGAGCCGGGGCTGGAACCGGCAACCTTCAGATTACAAAACGAACTGACAACTCATGAGCCCCGATCGCCCCGTGGATTATGGTTTATTTTTTATGCTTCATTTAGTTAGTCCCGAGTTTATTCCATGTTACTTTCTTGCACATTTGGGTTCCCCTTGTGTCTTTGTCCTGTGTGTCCCTCTCTGTGTGTTTGGTGTATATGTGTGTGTCCTTGTGTCAAAATACTCCATGTTTCAGACTCTGAATTTAGTGTAAATAACATGAAAGCATCCATCCATCCTGCCTTGTATCAGTGGTTTGGGATGGTGGAGACAGTGTAATGGTGTTGGGAATATTTCTTTGGCAAACTTTAAACCTGGGCATTGTTTAAAAACCTTTAAACACAGTATTCATGCTGACCATGTCCAACCCTTCATGTCCACTGCAGTAACCTTGCAATGATATCATGGAGCAAAATCTGAGAGAAATGTTTCCAGCATCTTGTTGAATCTGTATCATGAAGAATTAAAGCAGTTCTGAGGCCAAAAGGGAGCCCAATCCAGTACACCATCTATTTCCAAATAGACAGATAGCATGTAGAAAGGCTTTATATGCCTTTAGAGCCAAAAAGTACATATGTGACTTTCACTTAAGAGAAAGAGAAGTAACATACTATCTATTACAATAACTCTTATTGTTCTAAACATGCAAAAGGTTTAGCATACAATGTAAAAGTCTAAGACATTTTTGTCTGAAATATACAATTCCAACAATTGGTTCAGTCAGAGAACTATCACAAAAGCAGATATCAGAAAAATCTTTAATAGGATAGTGCTTGAACAAAATAATTCAACATTTCAAGAAAAGCCTTAATTAGTTTGATGTTTATATGACTCATGAAAAATATATGAAAGTACAAAAAATATATAACAACTGGAAAAATCAACTTTTAGTACAGCAACTCCGTGAAGACTGTCAGTCAGCCAACAGAGACAGGAAAGAAACTTTAAACGTTATTTCTGTGGCACGTCTCTTCCTCCACAGATACATAAACACCAGCACTGAAAGACAAACGGTAACTGATTTAAATCAAGCAGAAAACTAGAGAGTTGTGGAGTAGAAAAGGTTTTCATCAGTCTGTGGCTCTATAGTGTAGGTGTAGGGGTTTACACACTTGCCTAATAAACAAAAGGTCCTTGGTTTCATTCTGAGAGTAGACACAAATGGGGCTTCAAATGGCATAAAACCAAATAAAATTTGTCTCACTAACCACTTTGGAGACTTGTGACATGTGAACTTAGCTTTAAAAACATCTATATAGCATGTTAGACAGCCCAGTTTGAAAGGACTGATAGCTTGTGCCAAGGAGGTTAATTATCATTTGTATAGCTCTTTTGTTTAGAACTTTTAACAAGCAGTTAAGGACAACTAACCATGTATCAGACACACTTAACTGACTATGACAAAATAAACCATTGAAAGGCCATTGTTCCTTTGGAGCCTGATTCCCTAAAAGGAATCTATAGCTAACAGCTAAACGAACTATAACGCTAGCATTAGTGTTGGCTCTGCAAAGTATTTCTGGTACAATGCAATCCGAACAGCGACACTGAAACTAAGAAAAAAAAAATCCTAGTCATAAAATAAAAAGCTGATGTATCAAAATCACTTACCAGCAATAACACAGGGTATCAACAGCAAAAGCAGCAATAGAAGGTGTGATGAAGGCCGAGGCTTACTGAGGCTTACGGTCCTGCTACCATACTTTATCTAGAAAACATTAAGGAAAGTCTCAATAGAGCAGCAGGTCAGAGATTTTCAAAATATTATTCATACAGTAAAAATCATAATGTCAAACAGGCTGTAAATAATGTTGTACAAGGATAGTTGACGTTGTGTTAAAAGCAAAGAGCAGTTACATCATGCATCCATTCTGATTGATTGTGCTCCGCGTGAAGCTCAGTGAATAAGAATATTTATAGCACTATTTGTCTTTGAACCTAATCACTTGATATTATATCTGAAAGATATCATTTCAGTGCCTAAACCATTAGTAGAGTACTGCACCGTGGAGCTCTTATCACAATGATCCAGTCTTTAATTGATGACGTATGAACCCTGCTTCCTGGTCCAAACCTCTCCATGTTAATTAAGGCTGTTGTGTTTTTAAAGTGTTTTAATGCTTTGTATCTTCTTAATCTGAACAATGAAAGAATTTAGACAGTTTTTAACTCTCAGTGATGCCGCAGTGTTTGTTTGACTTTGGGACCTGAAGTGGAGTTTGGACCCAGAAATGGCTATTGATGTCAGACTTAAAGACCGGATAGGTATGTTTGTCTGTCCATAAACAGTGCCTTGTGTTAGTATGAAAGAAAGATTTACCAACAACAGCTGAAATTCAACGCCGGGTGGGTTTTTAACCTCACAAGTGAAAGAGTGAGTCTCATCACTGGTTTTGTTTGTTTCCATGGCGCAGCGGTATTCCTTACTGTCTTGAATGCCCCACACTGATAACTCTGCTGTTGTCATTTCCAGTTTATCTGCCTTTTTCTATAACAACAACACAAGCAAAGACTGATGTTCTACGAGCTGATGTCACATGTTTGTGAATGTGCGATTTAAACATGCATTACCCGTATAGTGATGTGAACACTGTTTCCTGTCCTTGTGGCTGTGAAGCTGATAAACTCAGGGTCTGGATAGTAGGACATGTTTGTGGAGCAGGCCAAGGTTTGATTAGCTACTTTCAAAAACACAGTGCTGCTAGAAATCCCAGGACTGTTTTCAGCTGAAGGTGAGTCATAGGTGAGACTCTGCAATGAATTACATTTTTATATAAATCATAGACTCTTTATATAGCTAGCATGGTATGGTCATGATGGTGACATGATAAACCTAATGTCAATCACAGAATCAGAAGCGCCTCAACATCTATATTTCTAATGATTCAGCTTCTCTCCACAACTTGTTTTGTGCCAAATAATCTTACCGGTTACCCTCAATCTTCAACAAGGTGTTTATTTTAACCTTGCCTTTTTATTTTAATTTGACTCCCAATAAAATGTAAGTGATTTTTCTGATTACTGCATTTTTGTAATATCGTTGTTTTCTGAAACAATTCAACTTGATACACTACAGGAAAACTACAATATGTTTATTGTTTTGTTTTTTTCATTTGATTTTTAGACAGTACATGCTACACTGTTCCAAAAAAATAGTAATGTCAAATTATTTTACTGTGTATTTTACAGTTGTGTACTGTTTTTCTAGAATATCATTACATTTACATAAGTAGACTGTGATCTGACACGTCAAATGTAAAATAACATAACATCACTGTAAATGTAATAAAACACAATTTACTTGTTTGTTAAATATATTTTGTTGTACATATGCATATCTAGATCGTAAAAATACATCCAGAAATGTCTCCCATCATGCCTTGGGACATGTGCTGCTGTTTAGATGTTCTTGTTTTATTGTTTATGGTTACATTACTTTAAACTGTTATCTTGAATGTTGTGTTTACACCGTGGTGCAGCGTTACTGACAGTTGTTGTTTTGTAGAGAGAGTGCTGTACCATGAGTGACTTCTGTTGTGCTGTTGTTGAACCTTGAGGCACATTGTTGCATCGGCAAATGTTTTAATAAGGAGCTCCCCTACCAGCTTGGGGTTAAATAACAAGCTCAATCTCTGTGAGCTTCTTTGTTAAGATTTCTCTGCATGCCACAGTGTAAAACATTGCACGGACACGCGTTGCTAATTATATATTTTGAAAAAGAAATGTAGAGGTAGGAATTGCAATTAATATAAATAACATGATGCTAAGCATCGGCCAATGAATGTGAACTAACAAGGTCGCGGGTAACGCTGCAACCGTAGGAAAAAAACCCTAATATGAAGGTATTCTACTGTGCATTTTACAGTAATGTTCTGTTCTTCTAGAATATCATTAAAGTTACGTAAATAGACTTTGACTTCTCATTTTGAATGTAAATTAACGTTAAATCACTGTAATGTAATACAACATAATTTTCATGATTATTAAATGTATCTGTCTGTACATATGCATATTTAGATTGTTAAAATACATTCACAAATGTATCATGATTTCACAAATATCTGTCCGTTATTTGAAAGATTGAACTGTTGAATTCAAATGTAATGCTATGGAAAAGTATATAACATGATTCCTATAAGCTTGTGTTACATCACATAAGTATTATTATCTTTGCTATTTAGGGCGTTTGTAGCTCAAGAGTTGGCAGCTCGCCTTGTGATCAGAAGATTGCCGGTTCGCGCCCCGGCTCAGACACTCTCAGCCGTTGTGCCCGTGGTCAAGACTCTTCACCTCCCGCCTATTAGTGATGGCCAAAGGGGCCAATGGTGCGATATGGCACCCTCGCCTCTGTCCCAGGGCATGCAATCCATTATTATTTAAACCAACTGTTAACTGTATATTTCTGTACATTTACGTATTATAATTCATATTTCCACATTCATTGACCTTGTTTATAGGTAATTTCATTGTTTGATCGCGTAAAAATGTTCCTAATTTAATGTCTAAAAGCACTTGGAAAAGGCAGAATCCCATGTCAAATTAGCGCAAGATTATTTTCATTACTGAAAATAACCGTATTTTTATGGGAAAGTTATTTTATGTTATTTTACGGTCGTATTTTGGCGCCCCAGCTGCCGGAATATTACCGTTTTTTTAAGATGTTTTTTTTAACAGTGTAACACAGCATAGAGTGTGGGGTTCAGAGCTGTTTTGGTGGCACAAAAAGAGGATGGTACTTTTATTGTTGTGTTATGGGTTAAGGGTAAGCTTCAAGCTGCAAGTCTGTGCATATGTACAGATGACATACTGTAAGAAGATTACTCAAGAGCTTTGGCATGCAGTGAGAGGGTGTATGTCATGTATAATAACTGTACTGGACACTGTGTGTGTACAGACCCACCTGGTAGCTGCTGTTTTTGGGAAGTGCAACTTCCTGCATGGCATGGCTGTGTACAATGCCTTCAACAAACTTCAGGTGGGACCCCCTGACTGTGATCTTCCTGTTCCCACTGCAGGACACAGAGAGCATAATTTTAGTCACAGCAGAGAACCTTTCAAAAGAATTTTGATTACAGTGACTCTAATTTGACAGCAAAACAATAGTTGACCACTGCTACTTAAGACACTGGTTACTCTTATATGTATTTGAGTATATATAAGAACAACCTGAGGATAATGAGGATAATCAGATATGATGCTGCAGACCAAAGTGTCTGATGGACTGAAACAAAGCATTAATGGATCACAGTAGTATTATTGGAGAGTTTAAGTACCAAACCAACGTGGTGGATCATTTCTTAATGGAAGAAGAAAATGCAAGATAAAAAAAGAAGACTTCCTATGCAATACCAGTATGTGCGACCTCTGTAGAACGAGAAGGTTTAGTGTTTGTGAAAAATGCTGAGAAAAAAGAGCAGATTTTAGATCCATTTTCTTTAGCACAGTGGTATATTTGTGATAAACAAGCAAGTTCTAGTTTCAGAAGACAATATGTTACAGGCAGTGCACTGCTTGTGTCACTTTAGGTGTGCTGCAGCTTCTGTGAAAGTTTCAGTTCCTCTGCCTCAGAGTTTGGTACTAATAACTAAAGTGAACTTGGGTATTTTTTCAGGTGACCTGTTCCCCAAAAACACAAGTTCAACACGAGTTCCTCTTAATCATTCAAAGAAATTAACATTATCTGTTTTCATAACATCTCGGCTTTGTTGGGTGGTTTCAGTTAAATTAAGTGTACCTTATCCAGCTGCTGCTTGGAGTAGCGTTTGTACAGGATGGTGATGACAAGTATGTGATGTTAGCTTTGCCGTGGCAACTACCATCTGGGAGGAGAACACATACATTGACCACACCTTTGATATCTGTGCTGGGAATGTGGAACATCACACTGACACCAGAGTTGTCCCAAACAGGAGACCTGACCAGAACACACACACAGAGCGAGAAAAGTCATCACTAAGATCATCATATTATGCAGAAAATCTGAACACAGACAAAAACTGATCAGTAAAATCTTCCACAGTATAATTAAGGATTTGTTTGTATGAAGAAATGTGTTTTCCAAACTTAACGCATCTACTGTGATTATAAAATATCCTGAGGAATCCTTTTAACACAGCAACTGACAGCGATGGACTTCTTCAAAGCAAAAGCACAGGAAGCACGGCGGAGTTTCATTTTTCCACTCTGATACCAAACAGTCTCTCTGAGCACCGACACTGAGAGGCAAATAGTGCATCACTCGTACCTGTACTTTCTGCAGCCTCTTCCAAAGCTAAAAGCTGTAAAGCTAAAGTTTTTTTTTTCAATTGTCAAAATTAAATTGTAGAATATTCAGTTTTAAATATGTCTCCCTGTTTGGAATTGTTTCTACACTTTAATAAATTCTTTCTAGTCCAGGAATCATCTTAGTTATCTGTAAAGTGACTCACTCTTTTGGAGCACAGTCAGTGTGCGTCTGGATCCTCACTCCTGACACGTCACCAAGGTTATGACCTAATAACACAGCATGGTTTGTGCCATACAACGACACCACATTGGGAGTGATGGAGAAGATCTCTGGGATCTGAAGGTGAAACAAAAAAATAATCAGATTAAAATAATTTCCTTCTTCTGCCATTAAAACCTCTACTGGATCAGTATCAGAAGAACAATAAAAAAAAAGAGCATTACACTCACAGAAAAGTTCTTCCCAGACTCCAACGTTTGGCAAACACTTTCCTGTAGCAGAGAATGAATTTATCCTTGAATCACAACACTGTGCAGATGCTATTAGAGCTGATCTCAGACATGTTGTAGCTAACATTAGCTTTGTTCAAAACGTTTAAATGGTAGGAAACAACTAACCTGAGTATTTCCATTTAGAAACTGAAGTGAATCCTTTTACAATGAGGGAAATCTAAACTCTATTCATCAACTAGTCTAGCCTCATGACCTACTGCAAATGACACTGAAGAAAATCTGAATTTTTAAGCAGAGTTTATGTCTCACTTTCTACACATTTACGCAATATTGTTGGATTGGAAATGTTCCATACAACAAATGCACAACATGAAATGTGAAAAACTGCTACAGAAATCCATAAAAATACGATAGTTTCATTATTACATCAGTCTCTCCTTGGTTAGCCCAGGAACAGCTGTTTCTGCTCCAACCACAACCAGCCTTGATACACTGCTGACACCTGAACAGAAAACAATCATATAGGATCAGAGGACTTTGAATGTGCCTCATAGAACTACTCATAAGATTCACTTATTTTATTTCATCATATTTATTTTGTATGACTAGGACATGGTTATTTTATAAGTCATGGGAATGATTATTTCAGTCTATGATTATTTGTTATCTTTATAATCTGACTGGACTTACAAGATAGAAGTTGGAGGTCCATGGATGTCAGAGCAGTTGGTTAATTTCATTTGTTCTGACAGGAGTATTTTTCCAAGCCTAAACTTTACTGTGACATGCAGGCCTGTAAAATATATATATATATATATTAAATGATGAATTTCAAATGAGTTGGACCAATATATAATAATAAACAACAAAAGATTCAACTCAATTTGTCAAATGTTTCAAATCAATACATTCCTGGGATTATTTATCAAAAGTGACAAACCATCAGGAGGAAGTGTGTGATCAGACAGGTAGCAGGTGCACTGGGGGAACCGTGGAGGGTTATTCCCAATACAAAGGTGGCCAGAAATTGCAGAGAACTGGCAGGTGAAGTCAGACGATACTTTCTGGCCCAAAGTCAGGTGTGTGTGGATTTTCAGTGAGATCTAAAATCGGAAGGACATAACTGAACAATAAATAAAAACCAGAAATTATCACAGTCCTGAGTGTGTTTGTAAGCTGTACCTGTCCGTTTGTGTCCTTTTCAACTTTGTGGGAAATCATTTTGTGTTGGGACTCATCAGGAATGGACAGCCAGTCTGAATCTGTGCAGTCATCTTCAAATGTGCAGCTGGGAGAAGAAGAAGAAGAAATGATCACCAAGTTCAAAATTGTTTGAAGACGTCAGCTGCAGATATTGTTTCTCTCACCTGCTTTTAGAGCCACACCAACCACAGTATGGATCCTGTGCAGACCAACACTCCTGCACATTTGTGTACGTGCTGCACTTTGACACAGGAACTCGCTTCACCTAGAACAACAAACACTTTAAAATGCAGCACAGGTACATGTGACGTTAAGATAATCAGTAAATAATATAAGTACCTGGTTTGTAAATGGCACATACACATGTTTATGACCCACTGGATCCAGATGCAATTTGAAAAACACTTTGTGGTCATCACTGGTCCTGTAGAGCACCGTGGGACAGGCAGCGTGATACTTCCTGTCCACAGACAGCTGACAACAAGAAGGTGATTATTTCTGAGACACTGTACTATTGTTTCTGTACTCAATGTTTTTTCTTCATTTATTTAAAATAAAATGCTTTGTTTATTGGTTTGTTTTTCTCAAATCAGAAGTATCAGAAGAGTGATTAATCTGTTTATACCTTGTTTCATGGGACAGTAAGCAGAATTTAAATCATCTGCAAATTGGATATACAGTATTGAGCAATATTTAATCAAAAAATCATGCAGAGACAATGTATCAAATGTTAAATGTTACAACTTGCATTCAGAAAAACCATACAGCTTCTACATCCCCATCATCATCAAGTTAATCTTTGTTTCATCTTTCCAAAGAATATTTTCCAGGTCAAAGCCAACTGTTTGAGGTCTCGTGTCCTTCCTGTCAATAAGTGCAAAATTATTTTTTGTATTTACATTCTTGAAGGCATCTCTTGATTTTAGAGTTTGATAAAGAGAGGTTCAAGACAGGTTAGTTCAAGACTAACCAATGAAACAATGCAGAGATTATCCACTGTAATGACCTTCTTCACTTGCACTTACATCTCTTTGGAGACCAAATGCTGAGTTCCAGTAAACAGGTTATAATATATTCCACTAAATAGCTAAATAAAGAACAAAGAATTCCCCACTCACTATTCTCATACTGTTTCCCTGCCTCTGAGAGTACACCTTTAATGGTTCAGGACTGGCTTCTATCTCTCTGGTATACGTTATTCAAGTGGCTGGCCAAAGCTGTGAGTCTTTGCGTGGAACACTCAGGTATGGACAGCTTGCTGCACTTATTAGCCATCTTGTTCTTCAACTCATCTTTTTGCATCTCCAGTAGTTGGCTAACTTCCCTCTGTGCTGACTTAGCCTCTATATTTGTGTTCTGCCTCATCAGTCTCTAGTTTTTATAGCAGTTGCTTCTTCCAGATGTTGGAACACTGAGCAACAAGTTGCTTTGTCATTAGTATAGATGTCGTGTGCCAAAGAATCCTCAAGTCCCACATCCTCTTCATGTAACCTCTTCTGCTGTGATTACTTGCTTAGTAGCATTCCAACTGCTCGCTATTCTCAGCAGTTATCGACATTTGCCTTTGTATTCCAGTTGCAAACACACTCATCAGTGTGTCCTGGTTCCTCAACACCTGATGCAGGCCTTGTTTATCAGAATGACTTTTGAGACCGTATGGTATTCAATTTCATATATAAAAAATTCCTTAATTCCTTACCTTAATGAGCAGCCCATCTTCTGTCCAAATATAGAAAACCATCCAGGCATTCTGCCTCACTGCCAGCACTGAGGTCATGTAGCTTTGCCTGAAGAGGACTGCCTTTGGTTTCAGGATCTTTGGCTGACGCAAACAAAACATGAGAAACCAGAAGACATGAACACTACTACTACTGAAAGCCTTATTGAAGCATCTTGCTGCGTTATTATCAAACTGACCCAAGTTTATTGATGTTATCTTTTGATAGAAGAATGTATGTGTGTGAGAGTGAAAGAATGAATTTTGGCTTGTACGGCCCCTCATATTAATGTTTTACTTGCATCACTGACCAGAGAAGATACTGGAGCAGCAGGTGAGAACAATATCAACAGTACAACCATTAAATCAGAGTTTAAAAAGCTCTCACCGTCACTTCTGATGGCACAGAGGTGTAGAAGTCTGGATCTCTGTCAGTGTTCCTGCTATAATCAGGGCTGATGTCAAACACCATTAGCTGGGTGTCGGTATCTCCTCCATCCACACTGAAAACGCCGCTCCAAAGCACCGGCTGCTCCCCCGGGATGACCGAGGAGACCACGAGTCTGCTGCTTTGACTGTCAGAGACACTGAGAGTCGCGCCCCGCAGAGACTTGAGTGTATCAGTTTTGCTCTTTTCGCCTTCAAGCCAAATGAGACGGACTCTGTTTGTTTGAGCTGAGAGCGCGTTGGAGAACAGATAGATGGTTGAATTGATCTGAAACCCGTCAACAAACTCCACATCACCTTTACTTTTGATCCCAGGTGTGCCTGAAGCTCCATCAGTTAGAGAAAATATACCTCCACCCTGTTTGTCATCTGCATCCTGAAGATTGACAGTCTGCCGATTAATACCACACTTGTTGTTTTCGGGCTTTTCTGTGTTTTGTTGGATCGCGGTCAGAATGTAAGTGTCAGCCTGAGTTTTCTTCTTCACATCCACCAGAAAGCTGACTGACCTGCTGCTGCGCTTCAGAGGTCCCACCTGGATGTGTTCTCTGTGCAGAAGCTTGGAGGTGTTCTTCAGGTCCAGAATCTCGCAGTGGCCGCAGTCATCGTCAGTCACACCGCAGCTGATCAGCGAGTCATTCTTTGTGAAAGGCAACAACACATTGATGCTGAAAGTTGCGTTCCACTCAGCTGTGTCAGAAACCCGGTAAAACTGCACATCATCCTGCTGGTTTCCAGTCTTTAAGATTCCTCTCTGGGTCAGACTGTTGATCAAAGTCAAGTCGTGGCTCAGCTGGTACAGCCTCTCCTCTGTGGCGATGTAAAGCAAGTTGGGGGTCACGACAAATTGGCGGATGTCTCCATCAAAGGTGAAGCCTTCATCCTCCTTCTGGCACAGACCCAGTTCTCCAGAGAGAACAGAAAGCAGAGCGAGCAGCAGGATCATCTTATAATAACGATAATTCTACCCGGGACATGCTCACACAGCGATGCTCTGCGTGGCACTCTGCTCTCTGACACTGTGTCTCTATACTTGTGCGTAAAGCTCAGAGCGCACAGCTGAAAAGAGAACTGCTGGAAGGAGGAGGGCTGGAGCGGGCCAAGCGAAAGTGAAAATATTTGAACATTTTCACTCAGCAGCTTTCGTCTCATTTCCACCCCGTACCTCTGTACAGGCCAAAGGAACCCAGATGTGTCCCATAGTCAGTTACTTTCTGCAGCAAGTTTGCTCACTACGGTTTACTTCTTACTGTTCCAAACATATTTAGTTTTAGTTTCAGTCTTAGTTTTGGTAATTTTTTAGTTATTATTGTATGGAGGTCTTATGTTAGAGGCAACAATCAGCAAAATCAGTACAGTATTACAATAAAAGCACACACTGTTGAAATAGTTGTGTAGAAATCTCAAAAAATATGTGCATCAAAGCCTCATAAAGCAAGTTCAGATTCAAATGTACCAAACTAACAAACACTAAGTGCATATTTTCACATGTTCATTTTAGTTTGTTAGTTTTCTAGCATGGTAAGATTGTTTCAGTTAGTTTTCAGTTTGGTCTAGTTTTGTTTTAGTTAACTAAAATGTTTTTGTTTTTTTTAATCACATTTTAGTTTTTAGTTTAGCTTTAGTTAACTATAACAACCTTGCAAGTTATACGATGATATCCATCTCAACAAGAATCAGAATCCAGAGTGGATGGAAGCATTTCAGTTATAATCATTTCTCAACTGAATTCCCAGTCCATGTCATGTAGTATGGGTACTATTCAATCAAAAATCATGAAGCAATTCACTAATCGATAACATGTTTGTTACAATCTGTTTAATGCTGTACTTATTAACATCTGTCTGTCAGTTAATGTCAAATAAAAACAAACAGCGAAACTGAGTTTGATGTATTTTACTTTCCCCTTTAACAAATAAGGAAATTGAACTGTGGACATAATAAGAGGCGATTTGGTGTTAGTGTAAAGCCAGATTTGACCTAAATCAATGGAAATATATGAACTGAGAAATAATTCAGACACAAAAGCCATTCAGTCCTGAGTTTAGGAATGTAATGGAAATTCTCAGCTAAGGACACACTTAGAGGAGCTGAGACGTTAGCACAGGCAGAATTCTGATATGCGTTGTGTCTGGATCTAATGTGATGATCTTTCCATTGAACAAATGATGTGTCCACTGATTAACATGAGCAGAAGAAACCTCAGCCAACTTTTAAAAAATGTAATATAAAAACTTCCTACACGTTTTAACTTGAGAACAGCAACAGCGACATCTAGTGTCAGTGTTGGGAAGTACTTTTCTCTTATTTTCTGGCATGTGACGTTTTTCATTTGCAAAACCTGACCAAACAGATGGTGTGCCTTCTGACAAACATATGTATTTATTTTAAATACACAGTTCCAGCTATAATAAAAAAAACAACACACTATACACTATGCAAAATAATTAAACACTAGGGAGCAGTGTTGGTCAAGTTACTTGAAAAAAGTAGTCAGTAACTAATTACCGATTACTCCCCCCAAAAAGTAATCCCGTTACTTTACTGATTACTTATTTTCAAAAGTAATTAATTACTTAGTTACTTGGTGATAAAGCGATAGATCTTTCAGCCCAATTCTACTTTTTCTACATAATCCATCATACAAAATGTAATCAAATGGAAAAGTTTCTTTTTAAAACTTGTTTTATTAGTTTTAACCTTTTAACTTTATGCATCAAGCAAAAATTTAATTATATGCAACATTCTCTGACTGGAAGAAATTTGTTAAACTTATTTTCTGCACATTCCAGCACATAAAATATTTTTTTTGTGTGTGTGTTTACACTCACTCTTTCAAATAGATGCAAGTAAAACACAGCAGAAAATAAATGACATCAAAGACTAGCGGTCCTGTTGCTCTATTTTCACTTGTAAAGCAGGAATAGGGTAGGCGGAGGTTTACCCTGGTGCAGGAGTGCCGCAGCGGTCAGTGGAAGAATCCGCGAGTTTCTCTGTGAATTTCCCATTACGTCATAGCGCACTCAGTGCTTGCTTGGAAGTTTAGGGGTTTTTTTCGGTGTAAAAAGAAGTTTTCTTCCCACGCACAACGGACACTAATGTTTTTGTCACTTTTTATGGAATCAAACTCCAAATAAGGTCAGTACTTCCACGCTTTAAACACTGCACGCTCATACTCTCTCCCGCACTCGATATATGATGCACTGTTGATCTGCACACAGCTGTTGTCACAAACGTCGCACTCGCTTACGTCACTGTCATGAGACATTCTTGCAAAAAAATTACGGTTTTAGTAACGCAGCGTTCCTACGGGAAAGTAACAGTAATCTAATTACCGTTTTTGCAATAGTAATCCCTTACTTTACTCGTTACCTGAAAAAAGTAATCAGATTACAGTAACACGTTACAAGTAACATCTCTGCTAGGGAGAACCCTTTATTTGCATTGTGGAAGGAATTTACATCAATGCCTGCTTCCAAAACATATGAAAAAGAAATTACATGAAACAACTAAAATGCATATTTATACTATCACAAGGGCAACAGCCTGAAGTTATGCCTGAATTGTGAGGTTACCGATTAACCAAAATATGGGAAGGAAAAAATAACTCCTTGGTGACCTGGCACATGAATCCAAAGTATGTAAGTTTCTTCCAACTTCAATTGTGTTTAAGGTACAGTAGCTCATTTTTAGGATATTTAATAGAAATAAAGAATGCTGTACTCGTATATATATATATATATATATATATATATATATATATATATATATATATATATAAACAAAAAACACCCAGCACGCCCCTGCGGGCGGTTTATCCTTCAAGCTCGGGTCCTCTACCAGAGGCCTGGGAGCTTGAGGGTCCTGCGCAGTATCTTAGCTGTTCCCAGGACTGCGCTCTTCTGGACGGAGATCTCCGATGTTGTTCCCGGGATCTGCTGGAGCCACTCGCCTAGCTTGGGAGTCACCGCACCTAGTGCTCCGATTACCACAGGAACCACCGTTACCTTCACCCTCCACATCCTCTCGAGCTCTTCTCTGAGCCCTTGGTATTTCTCCAGCTTCTCGTGTTCCTTCTTCCTGATATTGCTGTCATTCGGAACCGCTACATCGATCACTACAGCCGTCTTCTTCTGTTTGTCTACCACCACTATGTCCGGTTGGTTAGCCACCACCATTTATATATATATATATATATATATATATATATATATATATACCAATACCAATCATATGTATATATGATTGGTATTTAATTATGTCTTCCCAGAAAATTCTCTTGAAATTTGAGTTATTTGTGGGATGTTGTGCACAAGCATACTCCAAAGCTATAATGAGATTCTGGTGTATATTATTATATTTGGTGTTTTGTTTTTGTTTTTTTATAATTTTTATTAATAAAAGACATCAAGAGGTCATAAACAGAGGGAGAACACACCATGGCACATTTTTAAACAAGGAAGATTTATTCATCAAAGTGATTTATTAATCAAACAGACATAACATGAAAACACTTGAACAGAGAGAGGGGCATCATTGGTCAAAATCCATTCATCTCCCTGGGCGTCTCCTCCACCATAGACAGATAGCCACCAATACAAAAAGCCAAACAGTAACCAATTTAACCTGAGCAGAAAAACTAGAACGCTGTCAAGATGGAGTAGAAAAGGTCTCCAGAAATTGTACTACATAATTGAAATTGAAATTTGTTCAGGGTTTATAGAAAAAGCCAATATGTCAACACAACTTACTGGCAATATGTCCAATTATCAGCAGGGAAAGCAGTATTGAAGAGACATGGTGTGATGAAGAATCACTGAGGCTTATTGTCTTGTCACCATACTTTATCTAGAAAATACAAAAAGCATTTCACAGGGTGAAGTCTCACCAGAGCAGCAGAACTATTCTTAAGGAAATATCACAATTTGAACATAACTGTTTAAAAAATGATGTTTTAATAGATGTTTTTGGACTTGATACAAGTTTAAAGATTCTACTCAAAACTTTTGCTATTCTCACCACAGACTCATTTGATCAGTTTTGTTTTGTTTTATGTTGATTGTGTATTGAAGTTCAATATCACGTATTTATAGAATTATTTTAGAAAACAGTCATTTAAAATGATATCAGAAATATATTTTGTGTACTTTGTATGGTAACACGATTGCTATAATGTTGGACCTACTGTCACAACAAATGTATCTCTATGAAAGTGTTGCCTATAGCTTAAAAGAAAGATTTACCTTTAACTTTTGGAATCGTGTGTTGGGTAGCCCTTTAATCTCACAGCTGAAGGAGTCAGTCTCTTTACTGGTTTCTTTGGCCACCAGGATACAGCCGTATTCCTGTGTGTCTTGAACGCCCCACACTGATAACTCGTCTTTTGACATCTCCAGTTTGTCTGACTTTTTCTAAAATAACAGAAACAAAGTTTGACCTTTAATGAACTCCTGTTTGTACATGCGATAAATAAAAAAAAAAGCAAAAGTAACAATGTTACCTTTAAGGTGATGCGGACATTGTTTCCTGTCCTTATGGCTGTGAAGCTGGTAAACTCAGGCTCTGGATGGTAGGTGATGTTTAAAGAGCAGGCTAAAGTTTCATTGGCTGCTTTTAGAAACACAGTGCTGCTAGAAATCATCAAAGTGCTTTCAGCTTCAGGTGTGTCATAGCTGAGACTCTGCAAGGAGTTTAAATACATTCTGTGTTATAAAGTCAATGTCTGGATGAGATGCTTAAGTGATGTTATTTTTTAAATATAGTTGAGCACTAATTCTTTAGCACAGGAGCTACCATGACCTGAAAAGCACACACACACACACACACACACACACACACACACACACACACACACACACACACACACAGAGACCTAAATTCAACAGAACGTTCAAAACTTCCTTTTAACAGGGAGAAAATTCTAGCAGAACCAAGCTCAGGGAGGGGCAGCCATCTGACATGTTGGTCTGGTTGGGGGTGAGAGAAGGAAGACAGGACACAGACACACTGTGGAAGAGGGCATGAGACTAATAATAACTAATGATTAAATGCAGAGTGGTTTATAAACATATATAGAGTGAAAATGCAAACACTCACAGTGAATCATGGGAATCCCCCAGCAGCCTGCGCCTATTACAGCATAACTAAAGAAGGATTTGGGGTCACCTCATCCAGCCCTAACTATACAGGGAGTGCAGAATTATTAGGCAAATGAGTATTTTGTCCACATCATCCTCTTCATGCATGTTGTCTTACTCCAAGCTGTATAGGCTCGAAAGCCTACTACCAATTAAGCATATTAGGTGATGTGCATCTCTGTAATGAGAAGGGGTGTGGTCTAATGACATCAACCCCCTATATCAGGTGTGCATAATTATTAGGCAACGTCCTTTCCTTTGGCAAAATGGGTCAAAAGAAGGACTTGACAGGCTCAGAATAGTCAAAAATGGTGAGATATCTTACAGAGGGATGCAGCAGTCTCAAAATTGCAAAGCTTCTGAAGCGTGATCATCGAACAATCAAGCGTTTCATTCAAAATAGTCAACAGGGTCGCAAGAAGCGTGTGGAAAAACCAAGGCGCAAAATAACTGCCCATGAACTGAGAAAAGTCAAGCGTGCAGCTGCCAAGATGCCACTTGCCACCAGTTTGGCCATATTTCAGAGCTGCAACATCACTGGAGTGCCCAAAAGCACAAGGTGTGCAATACTCAGAGACATGGCCAAGGTAAGAAAGGCTGAAAGACGCCCACCACTGAACAAGACACACAAGCTGAAACGTCAAGACTGGGCCAAGAAATATCTCAAGACTGGTTTTTCTAAGGTTTTATGGACTGATGAAATGAGAGTGAGTCTTGATGGGCCAGATGGATGGGCCTGTGGCTGGATTGGTAAAGGGCAGAGAGCTCCAGTCCGACTCAGACGCCAGCAAGGTGGAGGTGGAGTACTGGTTTGGGCTGGTATCATCAAAGATGAGCTTGTGGGGCCTTTTCGGGTTGAGGATGGAGTCAAGCTCAACTCCCAGTCCTACTGCCAGTTTCTGGAAGACACCTTCTTCAAGCAGTGGTACAGGAAGAAGTCTGCATCCTTCAAGAAAAACATGATTTTCATGCAGGACAATGCTCCATCACACGCGTCCAAGTACTCCACAGCGTGGCTGGCAAGAAAGGGTATAAAAGAAGAAAAACTAATGACATGGCCACCTTGTTCACCTGATCTGAACCCCATTGAGAACCTGTGGTCCATCATCAAATGTGAGATTTACAAGGAGGGGAAACAGTACACCTCTCTGAACAGTGTCTGGGAGGCTGTGGTTGCTGCTGCATGCAATGTTGATGGTGAACAGATCAAAACACTGACAGAATCCATGGATGGCAGGCTTTTGAGTGTCCTTGCAAAGAAAGGTGGCTATATTGGTCGCTGATTTGTTTTTGTTTTGTTTTTGAATGTCAGAAATGTATATTTGTGAATGTGGAGATGTTATATTGGTGTCACTGGTAAAAATAAATAATTGAAATGGGTATATATTTGTTTTTTGAGTTGCCTAATAATTATGCACAGTAATAGTCACCTGCACACACAGATATCCCCCTAAAATAGCTAAAACTAAAAACAAACTAAAAACTACTTCCAAAAACATTCAGCTTTGATATTAATGAGTTTTTTGGGTTCATTGAGAACATGGTTGTTGTTCAATAATAAAATTATTCCTCAAAAATACAACTTGCCTAATAATTCTGCACTCCCTGTAAGCTTCATCAAAAAGGAAAGATTTAAGCCTAATCATAAAAATAGAGAGGGTGTCTGTCTCCTGAATACAAACTTCGAGCTGGTTCTACAGAGAAGGAGCTGAAAGCTGAAGGCTCTGCTTCCCATTCTACTTTTAAATACCCAATGAATCAATAGTCTGAGCGCAAAGTGCTCTATTGGGGTGATATGATACGATGCTGTCTTTAAGATAAGATGGGGTCTAATTATTTCCATTAAAAAATCTGTGGGATGAGCAGAAGATGCCTGTGCACATGCTCTCACATTTTACACATTTGGTGCAAGTAAGAATAGGCAGGTCAGATATGCCATGCTGAGAGACCCAATCCTCTGATTAATCAAAAGGCACTTCCACAAAGTATTGGGCTAACTAAGTTTGTGCACACGTATGCAACCAACTAATTGGATGTTTTATTATTATTTTTAAATATATTTAAAAAAATATAATTTTTAAAAACATAGTTGGTTAGTTGGTTTTGAAATTATATTGTACAGGTTAGAGTTAAAGATGAGAACAGTTTTGAAATTATTTGATCTCATTTTTTAAGTTGACTAAAACCCGGGTGTGCACACGTTTCATACACATGCACAATGAATAGAAAACCTGGTAGTGGAGCAGATTAATTTGTCTTCTCAAACACTGAAGCTTGCTTTAATGTTAGTTCATTGTTTATTTGTTTGTTCATTTAACATGCGTGCTTTTGTAATCATCGTTCACTAGTGTTCATCCTATTATCTTTTAAAATGATGAACAAACGTTTGTTTGAACGGCATTTAAGAACACATCTAGTCTGAATGTGTTCTGCTTTCATGTTGAAATCAGCCAACATTTTGAACATTTTAAAATTTGAAAGTTTGAACCATGACATCTTTACCTCTGTAAATCAACCAGAGAAAGACATATTATGTAAAATGATATATTTGATGTGTAACAACAATCCCATTTACACTGTGTGTGTCTGCAGACCTGATAGCTGCTGTCGATGGGAAGCTTGACGTCGTGCTTGGCGTGGCTGTGTACGACCCCTTCAACAAGGTCCAGGTGAGACCCCATGAGTGTGAGCTTCCTCTTCCCACTACCAAACACAGAGCAGCATTTATGCAGAGCAGAGAGTATGAAAGACTCTTGATCACAGAGAATAATTCTTATAATGACACCTCAATGTAATGGTAAAACTGTACTGCAGTGGCTCCCATTGCAGGTTTAAGAGATTTCTATACACTAGAGTATAATGAGTCATCATCTGAGGATGACCTAGTTGTTATGTTCTGATGCAGACCAAAGTGTCTGATGGACTAAAACAACAAATTTAGCTTTGTAGCTATAAAGGCCAAAGCATGAAAGGATCACCGTGGGGTTCTTTAAGAGTTTACTTGAGAATAAAAATGATGCTGCATCACTTCTTAATGGAAGAAAGATCTACAGCATTATAGCAGAAAACCAGCAGAGCTCAATAAAGGTGTAACAATAAGCTTATTGCTTGATGGAGCAGAAAAATATCCATGTCTCTATTCTTTCCCACTAACATGTTATATTTGTAATAAATAAATAAGACTAAAGTAGTTTTAGATTTGGATCATTAACACCACCTTTACTATCGGCCTTTATTGCCTCAGGAAGACTCCCTGTTAAAATGAACTGCAGATGATTATTATTTTGATTTATCAGGTTTTTTTATTGCACTTCTCAGAAGATAATTTCTTAGAGACAGTGCTCTCCATATGTCACATTAAATGTGTTGCAGATATTGTATGGTTGTTAATTTGGTTCTATTTGATTTGATTTGTCTAAAAACTAAACTGAATTTAGTCAGAGGTGACCACCTCCTCAAAATCAGTTATCAGCACTAGTTCCTTTTAGTCATCCAGTTTAAAAGCTTCAGTTTAAACTCTTTCTGTGACATTAGCTGCTGGAAGTTCTGGATCCACCATCAGCAGCTGTCGCTAACGCTTTGTGCAAAACTAATCTTACCTCATCCAGCTGCTGCTTGGAGTAACGTTGCCACAGGATGGCGATGAGCGGTAAGTGATGTTAGCCTCACCATGGCAACTACCATCTGGGAGGAGAACGCAGACGCTGGCCACACCTTTAAGTTCTGTGGTGGGAATGTGGAACGTCAGACTGATACCAGTGTTGCCCCAAACAGGAGACCTGGGCAAAGACACACACTCAATGACATCACCACGATATGCAGAAAACCTGAAAACAGACAAAACTTGTTGTTTTATTTTTACTAATTTCTTCTTTTGCACCTTAATTTTGAATCCTTGTATTGTTTCTTTATTTAATATTTTATTGTTGTTTTGTGTGAAGGGTGACTCTTATTGTACATATTCTGGATTTGTTAGTATTTTATGAAACACACTGTTAACTATTTTAGAATTGACCTGTCAAAGTTAACCCTCTCAGGCTCAAATTAAACTTTTTGTTGCTAATGCACAACCAAGTCCTGCAGTGGTACTTCTGAGTAAAAAAAACTCATAAAATATGTATGTGGGGTAATCAGGTTGTTAGTTTTTAACTGTTGCAAATCGGCAACACCTGCTTTGAGAGGGTTAAATTATAGAATATGTAGGTTTGTAATATGGGTGGTGTTCCCCTGTATTAAAATCTGCTCTTTAATTTGTCATTTCCCAGCATCGTCTTAGTTATGTGTACAGTGGCTCACTCTTTTGGAGTACAGTCAGCGTGTGTCTGGATCCTCACTCGTTTCACATCACCAAGGTTACGACCTAATAACACTGCATGGTTTGTCCCATAGAAAGACACCACACTGGGAGTGATGGAGGAGATCTCTGGGATCTGACAGTGAAACAAACAAAAAAAACAGATAATTTAATTTCTTTCTGCTGACATTATACTGGATGTGGATTAGGTGTCAGAGGAACAATGAGGATCAGACTCACGGAGAAGTTCTTCCCAGACTCCAACTCTTGGCAAACTCTGTCCTGCAGGAGGGGATTCAGCACTTAGCATGTGCGTAGCACTGTAATCTATCAGAACTGATCTAGGACCTGTTGTGGCTAACATTATCTTAGTTCAAAAAGAGGAAAACTGCTAATAAAAGCATTTTTATTTTTTATAAACTAAACATGGAAATCATTGTATTGATGAAGCAATAAATACTTGAAAATGTCATCCTCAAAATAAGTTAATCAGTAGGAAATTTGCTCAGTAATTGTGTTTTTCTTAGCATGTCTGGCCTTTACTAAAAATGTTGTTTTCTACCATTAAGCCCACGTTTCTTGCTGAATGTTAAAAAGTGATGAATTTAAAATAATGTAGCACACAGACTGATAAATCCATAAAATCAGTCACTAGTACACCAGTCTCTCCTTGGTTAGCCCAGGAACAGCTGTTTTTGTTCCATCCACAACCAGCTTTGATACACTGCCGACACCTGAGCAGAAAACAGAGGAGTGAGATGAGCACAAAAAAGCACCATAGGGAAAAAAGGAGTGCATGAATGAGAGAAGGACAAAGCTGTTTTGTTTTTCCTACTCATAACCACCTGGACCTCCGAACACACACGCTGACCCCACCTGCCTGCTCTCCACCCACTTCCTGAGGAAAACTGCGTGTCGCCTCAGTCAATCCAATCTGCACTGAAGCAGTTCTTATTCCTCAGCCACAGTCGCTAAAGTTCTTTATGGTTCATTTATGTCTTAACTGACAGGATGTCTTATTTTGTTAAATATCTCTCTTCCTCATTTCCTCTGCTGCCACAGCTGGTAGGAGGGACCAAGATGCCGAGGAAAGGATTCAAGAAGAGGAATCAACTACGTGTACATTTGGGAATGAAAAGAGACTGCCATACTTTTCATGCAGAAACAGAAACACCCAGTCCGCGTCATCCTGAATGAATAACAGGAAGAGAGCAGATGTTCAGCCAAGAAGTTCTACTGAACAAAGCTCAGCTGAACTGAGGACGCTGTATGAGTTTACTGCCGAGAACATTTAATAATGAAAATATGTTTTCAAGTACGCTCCGGGCCATGAGCAAGCTCATGGCTTTGCTGAAATAAACCAGTATAAAGACTTCCCACAACAAGACCACTCGTCTCTGGTCCATCCTGTCCGTACAGTTTCATTCAATTGTTCAACTTTTCCAGCTTTCATCAGTAAGGTTTCGTTCTCTTTGATTTCTAACTGCGACTTGATTGTCTGATATTTCTGTTAATCACATCAGGACCACTTTAGTCTGTCCACAGTCTGAGTCATTGAATCATTTCTAGTATTAATGGACTTACAACATGAAACTTGGTGGTCCACTCATGTTAGAGCAGTCGTTTAACCTCAGTTGTTCTGACAGCTGTGATGTCCCAAGTCTGAATTTTATTGTGACATGCAGACCTGTACATTAAAAAAAACAAAAAAACTTAAGTGTCAAAGTCTCTACTATTAGTAGTATATATGTTTGAGCTGTACCACTATAATAATAAACAGTTAGAATATTTCATCTGTCAGAGTAGCTCTGTCATTAATATTTCTGATTTAATTTTCTTATTTTGGCAAATACTACAAATCAATAAATAACTTTTGTTGTGAAGCATTTTATTCCTGGAATTATTTCTGAAAAGTCACTGACCATCAGTAGGAAGCGTACGATCAGACAGGATGCAGGTGCATTGTGGGAAATGTGGAGGAGGGTTATTCGAAGCACAAATCGAGCCGGACCTTCCAACGAACTGACAGGCAAAGTTAGACGGCCCTTCCTGGCCCACAGTCAGGTGTGTGTGGATTTTTAGTAAAATCTGAAAATGAAGAACATAAGTGAGAAACACCTGAAAGCCACAAATGATCACAGTCCCAAGTGTGTTTGTAAGCTGTACCTGTCCGTTTGTGTCCTTTTCAACTTTGTGGGAAATCATTTTGTGCTGGGACTCATCAGGAATGGACAGCCAGTCTGAATCTGTGCAGTCATCTTCAAATGTGCAGCTGGGAGAAGAAGGAGAAATGATCACCAAGTTCAGAATAGTTTGGAGACATCAGCTGCATGTTCTTTCTCTCACCTGCTTTTAGAGCCACACCAACCACAGTATGGATCCTGTGCAGACCAACACTCCTGCACATTTGTGTACGTGCTGCACTTTGACACAGGAACTCGCTTCACCTAGAACAACAAACACTTTAAAATGCAGCACAGGTACATGTGACGTTAAGATAATCAGTAAATAATATAAGTACCTGGTTTGTAAATGGCACATACAGATGTTTACGACCCACTGGATCCAGATGTAATTTGGGAAACACTTTGCGGTCATCACTGGTCCTGTAGAGCACCGTGGGACAGGCAGCGTGATAGTTCTTGTCCACAGACAGCTGACAACAAGAAGGAGAGACTGTACTATTGTTTCTGTACTCAGTGGGGGGGGTTGTATTGTTTGGTTGTTTATGTCAAATCAGAAGCAGTGTGAGTGATTAATCTAGTTACAACCTTGCTTTGAAAAAAATGGGACTCTAGGAAGAATGTAAAAAATAAATAAAGCTGATAATCATATAATTAAGATCACAAGTGTTAATGTTAGAATTTACACTAAAAACAAAACTATACAGCTTTTACACTTTTCTTCCCCCCGTTAACCATCATCCAGTAAATCTTTGTTTCTGTCCAAATATTTATTTTTAGGCATCTTTGAGATGTTTTCAGCCAGGTCTAATCTGGTCTTCCTGTGCCCGAGTGTAAACAATGGTTTCCGTATATACATTCCTGAAGGTGTCTCTTTAACTCAAAGTTTGATAAAGGACGACAAAACTACTTCTACAAGGGTTTTCTTGGGATTCCATGATGCTCTGTAGCTGTAAACTAATGAAACGCTGCTGCAAACATCCACATCGGTTGTCTTCTGTACTTGTTCAGACTCGTTGGATGTTCTTGATCTGGAATGTTGATTTGGCTTCTCCTACAGGCTCTGCCATCTGTCTGCTTTCTTTTGCTTGTTCAGCCTTGTTTACTTGCACTGACACTTCCTTGGGCCTAATACGTTGACTTCCAGCGAAATGTTGTGACATAACGAAATTAGGCCTCAACTGACTGTGAAAATGGCAGCCTGTGTATAAAAATGGCTGTAATTCCTAAACAGTTAATGCATTAAATTTGTTTAGTTAACAGTTTCTCAATAGACACCCTACTGCTACTAGATGGCCTCTGAAATACTGAACATTAGCTTTATTTCTTTCTGTTAATAATAACTGATATATGATAATTTATACAAACCTTAATGAGCTGTCCGTCTCCTGTCCCAATATAGAAAACCATCCAGCCTCTCTGCCTCACTGCCAGCACTGAGGTCATGTAGCTCTGCCTGAAAATCACTGCCTTCGGTTTGAGGATCTTTGGCTGAGAAACAGAAAAACATCAGAAATAACTGACCTGAAGAACTGAACATCAGAAGTACTGAAAGTCCTGAAGCCTCACTGAAGCATGTCTGTTGCTGCATTGTCACCAAAGTCAGTTGAATTTCTTGATTTTGTCATTTTAGTTTGAAATATGAAGTTCAGACATGAAGTGTGGCCATTAGGACATCCCACAGTTGGCTTAATAGTTAAACTGGTTCATAGATAACATTTTTTTTTGTTATAGTATGTGTGGAGAAACAAATATATGGATTATTTTATCACCAATTGTACAAAAGTCTTAAACTGCTCTCTCATCTTTCTTCAGTCTATGATGCTCAAACATGACAAGATTTTTCCAGCAGCTGAAATGATATTACAAAAATAACTCTATTAAGACGCACAAAAGAACAAAACTTTCTTTTTGTTGTAGTTAAAATGTATATTTTAGTTATTTTATTCTTTTTTAAAGGGACATTTATCCAGAGGATACTGGAGCCATTAAATTAAGAACCATTAAATCAGAGTTTGAAAAGCTCTCACCGTCACTTCTGATGGCACAGAGGTGTAGAAGTCTGGATCTCTGTCGGCATCACTGCTGTAATCAGGGCTGATGTCAAACACCATTAGCTGGGTGTTGGTGTCTCCTCCATCCACACTGAACACGCCGCTCCAAAGCTCCCCCGGGATGACCGAGGAGGCCACGAGTCTGCTGCTTTGACTGTCAGAGACACTGAGAGTCGCGCCCCGCAGAGACTTGAGCGTATCAGTTTTGCTCTTTTCGCCTTCAAGCCAAATGAGACGGACTCTGTTTGTTTGAGCTGAGAGCGCGTTGGAGAACAGATAGATGGTTGAATTGATCTGAAACCCGTCAACAAACTCCACATCACCTTTACTTTTGATCCCAGGTGTGCCTGAAGCTCCATCAGTTAGAGAAAATATACCTCCACCTTGTTTGTTATCTGTATTATGAAGTATGATAGTCTTCTGATTAATACCACACTTATTGTTTTCGGGCTTTTCTGTGTTTTGTTGGATCGCGGTCAGAATGTAAGTGTCAGCCTGAGTTTTCTTCTTCACATCCACCAGAAAGCTGACTGACCTGCTGCTGCGCTTCAGAGGTCCCACCTGGATGTGTTCTCTGTGCAGAAGCTTGGAGGTGTTCTTCAGGTCCAGAATCTCGCAGTGGCCGCAGTCATCGTCAGTCACACCGCAGCTGATCAGCGAGTCATTCTTTGTGAAAGGCAACAACACGTTGATGCTGAAAGTTGCGTTCCACTCAGCTGTGTCAGAAACCCGGTGAAACTGCACATCATCCTGCTGGTTTCCGGTCTTTATTATTCCCCTCTGGGTCAGACTGTTGATCAAAGTCAAGTCGTGGCTCAGCTGGTACAGCCTCTCCTCTGTGGCGATGTAAAGCATGTTGGGGGTCACGTGGAATTGGCGGATGTCTCCATCAAAGTTGAAGCCTTCATCCTCCTTCCGGCACAGACCCAGTTCTCCAGAGAGAACAGAAAGCAGAGCGAGCAGCAGGATCATCTTATAATAACGATAATTCTACCTGGGACATGCTCACACAGCGATGCTCTGCGTGGCTCTCTGCTCTCTGTGTCTCTAAAGTTGTGTGTGAAGCGCAGCGCGAGCAGCGCGCGCAGCTGAAAAGAGAACTGCTGGAAGGAGGAGGGCTGGAGCGTGCCAAGTGAAAGTGAAAATATTTGAACATTTTCACTCAGCAGCTTCCGTCTCATTTCCACCCCGTACCTCTGTACAGGTCAATGTTACAAAAAAAAAAAAGCCGGATATAGTGCGTCCCTAAGCAAAATCATCGCAATTACAGCCCTCAGCTGTATTCTTTAAACCTTCCATAAATGTTAGTGTAAAGTCAGATTTGGCTTAAATCAATGGAAAGATATGACCTCAGAAATGATTCTGAAACAAAAGCCATTCACACCAGGTTCCCCCAATCTTATAAACAGTACATTTGCATAAGATTGGGGAAACCTGCAGTCAGCTGAGACTGAAGATGTCACTTGGATGAGTGACGAAACGTTTCTCCCACAAAACGCTACGTCCAAATGAACAGAATCAACTTTTGGAGATTTACTTTCCTGGATGATTGAGAAAGCATCATGACATCTTAAAAGGTGCTGTATAAATAAAATTTCACCTTTACTTTACTACTGTATGGAAGAAGGACAAAGAAAAGTCACTGTGCTTGACCCTGAAACCAGAACCACAGGTTATTCATTCTAAACAAAGACCTAAAGACAAATTAATGAAGTGCTATCATGTTTTTTTTTTTAAACAATACCCCAAAATAAATATGCATAGTTAAGTTCAGCTTTGACTTAGAATTATCAGAATGACATTGCTCATGTTATCCAAAATGACTTCACTTCTTGTTGGGCCAGCAGGATCTAATGACTGACCATCCTTCAAGAAATATCTCTAACTGATGCAGAGTCACTTTAATAAATGCATTTCATACTTCCATCCATCTTACCAATGCCAGATCCCTCGGTAAACAAACCAGATGAGCTGCAATCAGAGATTTACTACAACTGCTTTTTCTGTGAGTGTTGTTTGTAGCTGAATCCTTCGTCCAAACATCCCCAATGCATCAGTCGAGGTACCGGGCCAGACATTACACTGCCATGACGGCAACAAAGACTCTAAGGGAAGGGGCCTAGAGCTCTGTGCTCATGTGCTTCAGGGTTGGTGCCATAACAGTAGAATTATAGACAGTCACTGCTCACCAGTCTTAGAGGCCAATGTGGAGGGCGTCCATATTGTTCCTGAGGACTTTAATCAGGTATGTTTGAAATCTGTACTCCCCAAATTCTACCAACATGGTAGTGTCCTACCAGAGGAAACAGGTCACTGGACCATTTGTACAGTAACATCAAGTATAGGCAAATTTGACGTTATCTCTTGCCCAGTTGGGCATCTCTCACCTCTCTCTGCTCCCCATTCTTCCTCCTCAGGAACCACACACTGTAAAATGTAATTCTAGATGTTTGTTATTGTAACATATTATTCTATATCAGTTTGATGATAGATGACTGAAGTTGTTGTTATAACATAGAATTACAAGTTAAAAATGTCCCAATTACATAAAAAAAAAAGCTAACTTGAAAACTCATGTCCAGCTAAATCAGCAACTTATGTGAACTTGACAATGTGGGGAAGTTGAGCACAGCAGGATTCAAAACTGTCCCACGTGATTGCTATCAACAATATAATGGTGGACTCTGCAGATGCTTATCTCATGCAAGTCAGTAGTTTTTCCTTTGTTTTGCAATTGAGCAGAGTCAAACCAATGTTTCTGAAATATTCATATTATGAAATGTTTCAGAAGCAGGCAGCATTTCAGAGAAATTGGTTCTGTGGAATTTGTTGCAATTGTAATTGAAGACAAATACAAGAGTTTGATGTCTTAGTTGTTGTAAACTGATCTTTACTGTCACTTATCAAAGGTTTTGTACTATTTTAATATTTCAAGTTTTATGCGAACAGGTGTGACTGAGCACAATGAAGTTTAAAAATATTGCAAATGTAAAGAATAACTTTTCTAAAATGGCAAGTGTCCCGTTGATACATTACATTAATGCAGACTTTATGTTGTTACTTTTAACACAGCAGTTTTTTTATCTCATCCTGTTGAAAGTCTGATAAGCTCATGCCATGGTGAGGGTTCGGTTGACCAGCTGTCCGCAATTCACAAGAATCACTACTGCTCCTAAAGTATTGGTCAGAATTTAATCAAACTTGTGCAAAATAATCACCCAATCTGTCTTCACCCAAACTGGGCTCAAGACCCAGTTCAAATTTATTGCTTCACAGGGAGCAACCTATGAGTTTTGATGGATTGTGAGCCTGATGAGCTACGTCACAGATTTTTCTGTTTCTCAGATGACTAAGATGGCACAATAAATGGTGAATGTTGGGTGCTCATGAGTAATTGTCTTGTCATGTTCTTGAAACAAACTTTCTGCCTGCAATGATCAGATACACTTTAATGGAATCTGTGGGGTTTCATTTTTTTCTGTAAACAACAGAAAATTTATTTAAAGGAATGTAGATATTTAAACCTGAGATAAACCTAACAGGTAGTTTTGCTGAAATGGACGAAATTGGAAAGCTAAAAAAAAAATACTTAAGATGTTCAATACACATTTTCTTTACATCCAGTCAATCAACCCTGATAATTAAAATGAAACTGATTTATGAGTTCACACAGCTACCTTAAAGCGCTCAGTTAATTAATAAACTTAAATCAACTTAGCTAACAAATAATTTTAGTTAAGCTAAAATAGATTCCTAAGTTAAAAGAACTACTAAAGTATTTGAATTAACTAAAAAACCCAAGTCAACTGAACTATGACAAGAGTTTAAACAATAGATTATTTTAATTTAGCTGAAAGGGTTTTCCCAATTTTTCCCAACTTTAATGACAATTAAAGGAGTTGAACTGACTAACAAATCGCAGTCAACTAAACTAAGACAAAAGTTTAGACAACATGTGATTTTTCATCAACATAACATTTAGTTGTGTTACAAGAACAAACTCTATTTCTTGAATTAACTTAAAATTTTAAGGCAGCCCTTTACATCATATTTTTAAGTTGAAACAACAAGTTATATTTTACAGTGCACCCTTTTCTTGTACTTTTTAGTTTTTCTTCTTTATTTTGTATAATTTTAAAAACCTTTTTATGTTTGGAATTACATACATCTATTGGCATGCATTTAAATTACGACATTATTATGTTCTTGTTTTTGCCTTGTTACTCTTCTATTACCGCTTTATTACCGAGCTGTAGTAGAAAGTGCTACCTCCAGTCAACAGTCAAAATTATTAAGTAGCTTATAAGATAAAACTACATCTATGTTAAACAATTCAGAAATTGCTCGCAGATGCAACAAAAGCCAAATTTTGAAAGAAATCCTAATATACCAGGGTTGTCCAACTCCAGGCCTCAAGGGCCTGTGTCATGCAGGTTTTAGATGTGTCCTTGATCCAACACAGCTGATTTAAATGGCTAAATTACCTCCTCAACATGTCTTGAAGTTCTCCAGAGGCCTGGTAATGAACTAATCATTTGATTCAGGTGTGTTGACCCAGGGTGACATATAAAACCTGCAGGACACTGGCCCTTGCGGCCTGGATCTCCCCACCCCTGTAATACATATTTTGAGACAAAGAGGGAACTTTTTCTTAGTCACCACCAGTCATACAGAAAATTCCCTGCTGACTTGGCCTCAGGATGTCTAGAGGAAAGAATCAAGCGCACCCAAAGGCAATGAGCTCATCAGTGGTCATGTGCGCAAGCTGAGGGAGAGAGACTGAAGGAGCAGCAGCAGCGCATCACAGTTGTAACACGGTTTTGTGTGATGACGTGTGTGTTAATGAACCTACATCCAAGCTCATATTCGCATATACTGTATCTTCTACAACTATAAGTTCATGTATGGCTGCACCACATTTGGATTACACATGGGAAGCTCTGATGTAACCAATTCTTCTGTGGAGCTTAATTAAAGACAGTGAACTCAACTCCTGGTAGTCTTTCTGCCCGAAGACTTAGGCCAGACTTGTATATCCAGCACTTCTAGTATTATAGGTTATAGTATTGAATATGCTATACATAATCTACTAGCCTGGTTATAGAATATAACCAGTCAGCAGCCAGAGCTTATTCATTTCACTTGTGAATGTCTTCTGCCAAACTAAGATAACCACCAACACTGAAAGACAAAGAACAGCTAAACACAGCAGAAAACTAAAACATCATCAGTAAAGTTGAGTAGAAAACATGAACTACACATCTGCTGCATTTAATTTTCTGAAAATAGCTGTTTGAAATGTAAGATTAATTTAAAACAACATTTTATTTGTTTCAGGTTTAGGGCACAAAATAAAAAGCAGACAGAATCAAATCACTTACCAACAATAACACAAGGCATCAGCAGGAAACGCTGTATTTGAAGGACCTTGTGTAAAGAAGACTGCGGCCCAAGTCTTATTGTCCTGCCACCATACTTTATCTAGAAAGAGGTTAAATGAATGTCATAGAGGCAGGTCTCACATTTACACCAGGACTTTGACTAAGTCACTCCAAAGTCTTCATTTTGGGGTGTCTGTAGCTCAGGTGGTAGAGCAGGTCACCTACCTACTCACCGGAAGGTTGGTTGTTCGATACCTTACTCCACGCTGCATGCCAAATATCCTTGGTCAAGATACAAACCCCATATTGGTCTCTGATGCAGCCATCGGACTGTGAATGTTAGATAGAAGGTGCTTAGAGCCTAGAAAAAGTGCTTGGGTGAATGAGGCAAGTTGTGTAAAGCGCTCAGAGTAGAAAGGCACTAATATAAAAACCAGTCCATTTACCATTTTGTTTTTCTTAAGTCATTCAGAGGTGGACTTGCTGTTGTGTTTTGGATCATTGGCATGCTACAGAACCGTGCTTCAGCTTGAGGTCATGAACAGATAGCCGGACATTCTCCTTCAGGAGATTTTGGTAGAAAGCAGAATTTATGGTTCCATTTACCACAGCAAGTCTTCCAGGTCCTGAGGAAAACAGACCCCGACCATCACACTACCACCACCCCATTATACAGTTTGTATGATGCTCCTTTTCTGTAATGCTGTGTTAC